ATACAATTCTTTGTTAAATCCTTCATAATAATCGATCTATTCAAATTGTTTCGTTTTATCGTTTTTTCGATTCGCGTGTAACCCAGTTATACGAAGGTTGAATGACAAATTGACCTTTTAGTTATTTACTAGCTATTTCCTCCCGGCTTTACATTCGTTAATTTTATTACCCGACTAGCTGTCGCCCACGAATCCGTCTGCAAGGAAAAAAAATAATATCGTTGCCTATTTGTTCTTCCAGACTATGTTCTATATGTACATACACCAAATTAACATATTTTACAATTTTCGTCTGTTTGTTTGTTCCGGCTAATCACTGAAATGGCTGGACCAATACTGACAGGACTTTATTGGCAGATAGCTGATGTAATTAAGAGTAACTTAGGCTACGTTTATTTTCTACTTTTTTTATATTATAAGGTGGGAAACGAGCGAGCGGCCTGAAATCGCTGAAATAGCGTAGCGTTGTCCATAGACATACGCAATTGCATATACGTTGCCTATCTTTAATCGACGGAGAGGATGCACTGAAAGAAAATATTTTCCCTTTCCATGCATCTTATCATCCGAAAAGTCCATTTCCACTATCCTTTCCTTATAAGAAAAAGGATGGGAAGGGAAAGAGGAGTAAAATTAGGTCTTTTCTAAATTGCTTTTATGTCCAGTACAGCGCATCTGAAAGACAGTATTTCACGCGAACGAAGTCGCGGGCACAGCTTGTAATATATACGATAATGACTGATATCTCTGTTAAATATTTACTGAGGTATTGGTACATAGTTAACATAGTATTAAATATAAAGAAAATTGTTATCATATGATATTAGCGTTGATATTTACTTCTTTGTTATATACTTTGGTATAAGTATATAAATAATATATTTATATAAGCATTTATTAGGTGTTAACTCTTCTTATCTTTAAATGAGCAATTCTTGTATTAGGTGCGCAACTAAGTTCGCGCTTTTTTTTCGATAAAAATATAACTTTATTATTAATAATGGTTACAAATGAATCATTCAAAGTATTGCCCATCGCTAGACACAACTTTTTCCCATCTTTCTGGTAGAGCTCGAATACCTTGACGCCAGAAGTGTTCGTCTTTTGAGGCTATCCACGAATCAAGCCATTTTTTGATGTCTTCATATGGGTTGATAATATATTTATATAAGCATTTATTAGGTCTTAACTCTTTTTATCTTATATCTTTAAATGAGCAATTCTTGTATATATATAATTGGAATCTCGGAATCGGCTTCAATGATTTTCATAAATTTTAGTGTATAGGGGTTTTCGGGGGCGATAAATCGTGTTTTATCGATAATCAACTTAAACATAAACTTAACTTTTTTCTATCGGTAAGATCGAAAAATATTATTCATATTTCATCATTTTATTAGTAATTCCTACTTAAATATAATTGCAAAAAAACAAAATTTAAAAAAAAAATACCGAGCAAAGCTCCGTCATCCAGATTTTGTTAATTAAATATATAATAGAGGTGTTGTTTTTAGTTGATTTTATTTATGCTTTTTGAAGTTTGCTGCATATGTAAAAATGTACTTGCAAGTTTAGTGGGAAGTGGTAGTTTCATGGTATAAAAAACTCTTTGGTTCTGCACCTTATTAGTTTCCTGTCTAGTCTGAACTAGAGGTAGTAAAAAGTATCTTATTTTATTATAACATGATTCATTTTACAGCTCTCTTAACGAAATTGTAATAAACTGTAATATAAACGTACCCAGATGTTATTTCGCGCCTTTTTTTTATACGCCGTTTTACGTTTTAGTGGCTTTAAACGCCGTCTGGGCGCGCTTGGCGTCGCGCCAAAATGGCGGCCGTTGTGCGTCCCGAAACGTCACGAAATTATTTATTATTCAAGATTCTTTGCCAAGTTAGACGGTGACCATATCGATTTATAAAACAGGACTGGTATTTCCAACTTATCACTCAAAACCCTGATAAATAAGCGAGTTACATATTACGCTATACTCGTGATTTAAAAAGTATTTTGGTGAAAAAATTAATTTGCTTTATGGCCGCTAATCTGACGTTTCTGTTTCCATAATTTATGTACGATTTAATTGTTTTATTATTTAAAAAGATATTTGTATTCGTCCTAGTTCAAAACACGTCTATGACTACTATCTGGAAATGAGGTGTCCGGAATTTTTATCTAAAATCATTGACATCCTATCTGTGAATTTGCGTTATTTGAAAATATAAGAAATGTGTTTTTTGTCTTTACTAATTCTTCATACTCGTATTCTAAATATAATTTGGTTTGTTCTTAATGTTTTTACTGTCTTATACCGGTTTATACTGACGAAAAATGTGTAAAAAAAAGTCCCTTTATTATTTCACACTATAAATGGATTGGCGATTGGAAATTACAGCTTTTGCTTTGTGCCGATTTAAACGCGTCTATTGATGTTACATGACACTTAATTCTATCTATATTATTAGTTCGAATCATCACTGCAACAAGACACTAGCAGCGCCAAAATAGTGAAAATCAAATAGTCACAAAATCCTAAGTCTTATAGCCGGTCCATTTATTGAGGTCAATGTTTTTTTTTTAAAGATATTGAGGGACACGACAACAAAATTATTCAAATGTTTCAGATATACAGAGGTTATTATCCTGCGTTGACGTAAGTCTTCGATTATAAAAAAAAATCGTTATTCTGATGTTTTGTAACGGTTTAGTTTGACCTATTTAAAAAAAATGTCATTCGATTCGTATTTTTTCTTTTACGGTGTTCAGTGCAGAATTAATTCTGCCAAAGACGTGGCATATTCGCGACAGTACCTTTGCCTTTTCTAATTATGAAAAAAGATAGATGCCAAAAAAAATTCGCGCGGGAAATTTTAACAACGAATTTTATTCGTGAATAGAAATGCGAATGTTTAGATCAGTGGTTCCCAAACTTATTTTGTCTACTGCCAACTTTGAGAATAAATATTTTTTAGCGCCCCCCATATTTTCACATATTAAAAAACCACTATAACTTCAAAATAAATTAATTAATTATTGTGACCAATATATGTATATTAATGGAGAATTGTAAACGTAACTTTTACTATAACCCGCAACTTGAGACCTGCAGCGCCCACAAGGGGACGTTATCGCCCACTTTGGGAAAGACTGGTTTAGATGGATGTTTGTTAGAAGGTATCTCCAGAACGGATCAACGGATCTTTAAAATTTAGCACTGATGTAGAACATAGTCTAGAAGAACACAGGCTTCTTATTAAGTTTTTTTTTATTCCGTTCGGACGGAATGTTCATTGCGTGTCAGTGAGCTGGAAAAACTGACGTAATTTATAACTGAAATTGCCGAGTCCATTTTACTTAATGGCCGATGGAAGTTAAACGCGGCACTCCTTATTTCGTGAGATGTACTATACATTTAAGAGGTTTGACCTATTTACCAAAAGACTACTCACGGATTTAACTTTTTCATTATGTATAGAAATAAGTAATTTTATTTGTTACTATTTTTCAAGCCCACTTTTACTTACACTTTTTTTTAAAGTAATAGATTTTTCATTATAATAACTCCGTCTGCGCGGAATTAAAAAAATAACTAGTCTATGTATTCTTCCAGACTATGTTCTACATGTATGACAAATTTCAACAAGATCTATACAGCTGTTCCGGAGATACCTTCTAACAAACATAGAAACATTCGCATTTATAATATTAGTAAGATCCCACTCGAGTAGGGTAAACGCAACAGTTTCAGCTCATTTCAGTCAGGACTCCTTTTTGAATGTCATCTCCAATGTAAACTGGTAGGCCCACATCTATTTATGTACCCTACATTAGTATCTAATCGTACGTACTATATTAATTGTCAAGTACGCTTAGTACTCGGTCAAGTACTGACCTTATTGTTTCTAGTAAGCACTTATGATTGACAATTGTTTTGTTAAGACTAATTATGTCAAGATGTTCTTTTTTATATTACTAGCTGTCACCCGCGACTCCGCCCGCGCGTAATTATAAGCGTATGTGTTCTTCCAGACTATGTTTTACTATGCAAAATTTCAGTGTGATCCGTTCAGACATGTATATGGGAAAAAGAAAAGGGCTGTTTTTAGGGTTTTCCCGGCAATTATTAGAACTTTTCTCACCTTTCAAACCTTCCCTATACCTCCACGAACATTAGAACAAGAACGAAGACCAAGATAAGATAAATCCGTTCAGCCGTTCTCGAGTTTTAGCGAGACTAACGAACAGCTATTGATTTTTATAAACGTACGGGCGCCTGCTAGTTATAAACATAGTAAATTAATAACCCATTGAAAATGTTTAAAATGCATTAAATATTACATTTTTATGATTCTCTTGAGTGTTATAAAGATTTTAACTTGTTGATGGAAAATTTTCACTGGTTAATGTTTACGAAACTGTATACATCCAAGGATGTTAATTTCCTACCCATTTCTTCACCCATCTATGCCAAATAGCTCTTAATAGTTCGTTGTACGATATAAGTGGGTAAGGAATTTAATTCCTTGAGTATGGGAACTTCTTTACTTCTTCTTTCGACAGTGGTAGAGCCCGCTTTAACATCTTCGCACGAATCGGCCCGGCTCGCACGGTGAAATACCACGACCACACAGAAGACAGGCGTGAAGTGGAAGCAATTCCGCGTTTCGTCTGATGAGTGTGTGTCCCGAAGGCCAATTTAGTCCTTTTTCCCTTCCCACTCTTTTTCTTATAAGGAAAGGATGAAAAGTGGAAGTGGACTTTCCGGATGAGAGGATGCATGGGAAGGGAAAATATTTTCTTTCTGTGCATCCTCTCCTCCGTCGTTTAAAGGTAGGCAACGCATATGCAATTGCATATGTCTATGGGCGACGGTCATTTCGCTACTTCAGCGATTTCAGGTGGCCGCTCGCTCGTTTGCCACCTTATGATATAAAAAAAAAAAAGTGAGTAGTGAGCTGATGATGACTAAGATAAAAGTTAACGATTGTCTTTTGTTACAGATCAGAAATCGAAAGCGATGACGACAACGAAGTCAACATTGATGTTGACAAAAAGCTGACAGCCTCTAAACTGGAAGTATTCGATGATGTAAAATATTTAGATGATTTGGGAGTTAACAAAGATGGCGTCGAACAGAGCGATGTCATTATAGAAACATTTTCATATCAAAATCCAGATAAAATAAGAATTAAACGTCAAATTAACGATACAGATAATACAACGGAGAGTTTAGAAAAGGTGACAGATGATACTTACGCATCAGAATATAGTCTAGGAGCTAAAGTCTCGATGAACAATGGTAATATAAAACTTATGGGTTTAAGAGTTGAGGATGGAGAGAAAACCAAAATAGTGGATACTATACCAAGTGTACTAAGGGAATATCTGTTTACTGTTAGATTATTTGGTGAAGGTTTCACTGAAAGTACGGAAATTGCTTTCACACATATCCCAGCTGATTACGGTACACAATGTGTATTCCTATTACCAGGATATCATAAGGTAAACAATTATTATTAACTTATATATATTATATTTCTTGTAATCATTCCAACTATGAGAGTGTCAGTGTGAGGGGTTCAGCACTTAAATTGCAACCTGCATGTCCTGGGTTCGAATCCCATGAATCAATATGTTTCTCCTTACATGTGTACATTTATCCGAAGTTCGTACGGTGAAGGAGTATGCTGCAGCTATCTGTGATGATAGTGTTTAATTTGATAAACGAATTGCACAAATTTTATATCACGAACCATTAGTTAGCTAGATGCTAGATGGTTCAAGACAATAGTCGAGTGTCGAACCTAAAACTAGAGGGTCGTATGTGTATACCCTAAATCATTAGACTATTATGGCTACTTAAATAGTTTTTACGGCCGCAGCCCATAGATGCATATGAACAATTGCAGATGCGTTGCTTACCTTTACTAGGCGGAGGAGACGTACAGGAAGAGAATATGTCCCCATACTATATGTCCACTCCTCCATCAAATCCACTTTCCATTCCATCCTTTCCTTATAAGAAGGTGGAAAGGTAAAGATAACTTAAATGAGGCTTTGGGAGCTTATTACTTTTTGGACTCTTCTACAATTAGGAATATTTAATTTAAGGAAAAGGAATGAGTAAAGAAATTTATTTAAAACTAGCTGTCCGCGCGGGCATAAAAACAAACCTAATTAGTACCCTATGTGTTCTTCTAGGATACGTTCTACATCTGTGCCAAATTTCAGCGAGATACATGCAATCGTTCTTAAGATACCTTCTAACAAACATCCATCCAAACATTCGCATTTATAATATTAATAAGATCTTTTTGTTATCAGGTTAAAGAGATCACAGAAGATTCAGCACTCTTCGAAATAATAGCACCATCTCTTTCCGATGACAACAGTTTCTATATTTGTGCAAGAAACGCCAATGGTACATTTTACCACCAAGGCAGCGAGAGATGGAAAATTCTAGCAGTTCACGACAAACTGCTGCCTCTCTGGGCTTCTTTGATCCTCATCGTCATCCTCTTGATGTTAGCTTCACTCTTCTCCGGTCTTAATCTTGGTCTGATGGCGTTAGATAGAACTGAACTTAAGATTATTGCTAATACGGGAACTGAAAAAGAAAGGAAGTACGCTAGAGCTATAATGCCTGTACGAGCTCATGGAAACTATCTTCTCTGTACTATTTTATTAAGTAATGTCGCTGTGAACAGTACGTTTACTGTTATTTTGGATGATTTGACGTCTGGCGTGGTGGCTGTTATAGGTTCGACTTTGGCTATTGTGTTTATAGCCGAGATAACACCACAAGCGATTTGTGCAAGACATGGACTGTTCATTGGGGCGAAGAGCATTTGGATTATGAAGGTGAGATTGTAATCAATTTGAATCAATTAAATATAACCATGACGAATATTATTCCGATAGTCGTATCGGTAAATGGACTGATAGCGAAGAGCTTCGACCAACATCTCAAGCAGCACTCGCTAAACGGTTGGATTAGGGGCCCGATACAAAAGGCAGTTATCCTAGAAACCGCACGCAGTGAGAAGGTTCCTGTCTGTAGCCCTGACCACTGGTTGTCGAGTTATGGAGTCCCACAGCCGGTGGTGCTCTTTAGCGTTTATAGGATAAAATGGGCAATCATTTGTAATAAATTGTAGATTATTAATCTGTTTAAGGTTTTCTTTAATATCGTGTATATTTTCAGATTGTGATGGGCATATGCGCTCCCTTAGCGTGGCCCACTAGCAAACTCCTAGACTACTTCCTAGGTGAAGAGATCGGCACGCACTACAACAGAGAAAGACTAAAGGAGTTAGTCAAGGTATGTAACATAATCTATCATCAGCTTAATATACGTCTCCACTGAGATGCTCGGAGCCTACCCTAAGTTTGGGGTTACGAGATTGCATATGCACAAAAATTGTGAACTTTGAACTATGTAGTAGTCAGAATTAAATCTTTACTAATATAATAAAGCGGAAGAGTTTGTTTGTACGCGCTAATCAAAGGAACTACTGGTCCGATTTGAATTTTTTTTTTGTTGGATAGTCCATTTATAGAGGAAGGCTTTAGGCTATATAACATTACGATGCGACCAATAGGAGCTAAGTCAGTGTGAAATGTTGCAAAAACGGTGAAAATTATTCACATTATTTCCGCGCGAACAGAGTCGCGGGCGAAAGCTAGACACTATTAAAAATGATAGATTTAAAAAGTAAATAAGGCTTAATATATATATTTAACCAGATTATGACGTTAATGAAAAAAACCCAGCTTATTTGAAAATGACTCCTCGTCAATAAGGAGACGTTGGACACTTTTGGCACACCGCCGACCGACAATAACCGAATTAACCTCCCCAACCCAGCATAAAAATATCCACGAAATCGTCTCCAGTCGACAATTTCGCACGGATTATTCGCATTTCAAACGAACAAGGTTAAAAGATATCGATAAAAACTTATTTGCCCATTGACTCTTAGACTAAATCTCTTTTCAAATTTCAAAAAAAAATGTTCGTTAATGAACGTGGTTTAGGGGTTAAGCACTTGACTTGCAATCTGCAGATCTTGGGTTCGAATCCCAAATGTACCAATGTGTTTTTACATTCACATAATGTACATTTATCCGATGTTAGTGTGAAGGAAAACATGTTGATGCTGCACATATCTGTGAATGTCAAAGATGTGTGTGAAGTGACGCACTGGACCAGCATTCACTATCACTTAGGGTAGACTCCGATACCCTCAATGGGGTATTGAGAGCTGATGATGATGCTACTAATCTTTCTGATTTTTGCAAATAGCTTTCACCTTGAATTTTTTGCAACTCTTCCACCAGGTAACTAACCATGTCAACGATTTGGATAAAGAAGAAGTGAACATCATCTCTGGTGCTCTTGACCTTCGCAAGAAGACGGTCAAAGATGTGATGACGAAGCTCAAAGATTGTTATATGCTGCCCATAACAAGTGTTCTTGACTTCGAGACCATGTCAGAGATCGTGAAATCTGGTAAAAATGTTTTTGTGTCTTACTGTTGGTTTCTGAGACCAAAAACTTGTATAAAACATCGTTATCCCTGGCATTTTCTTTGCCTGATAATAATATGTTTTAAAAGTGGCCTCAAAAACCCACGATAAGAGTTCTGTGTTCGATAAAATGATTATAAAAGTGCATAAAAGAGACAAAAGATATAAAAAAAGATACATTTTGATATATTTCAATATCTGAAAGAGACGAAAGATGTCTGCTTTTGTATATTCGCTGAAATGGCGAAACGATCGCGTATATCCGCCATTGCAGATGCATTGCCTTTATTTGATAAGAAGAAAACGTAAAGACAATATTCCTATGCGTCTTCTACATCAAATCCACTTCCCTTCCCATCTTTTCCTTATAAGAAAGGATGGGAAGGGAAATTGGAGTAATGTTTCCAGTACAAACTCATCAGAGTGTAGATGTAAGCTGTCACTTAAGGCGTGTTTTCTTTGTGCTCGTGGTCTCTATAAATGGATAGGCGATAGCTTGAAATAGTTTTTACTTCGTTCCTAAAAACGTGCGGGGTTAGACAAAGTGCATTTGCTCCAAACTGGTACTATCAGATACAAAATGGCGACAATGAAATAGGCACAAGAACTACATCTTATAGCCAGTCCATTATAGAGGTAACATATTTTTCACAGGTTATTCTCGTATCCCAGTGTACGAGGGTAACAGGGGCAATATAGTTACGGTCCTGTTCATCAAAGACCTGGCATTCGTGGACCCTGATGACAACACGCCGTTGAAGACCCTCTGCCAATATTATCAGAACCCTTGCAACTTCGTCTTTGAAGATATCACACTTGATATTATGTTGAAGCAATTTAAAGAAGGTAAGCAATATAGCTATCTCTGTCTGACGTAAGACATAATATTAAAAGTTATAGCTCTATCTCTTTCAGACATCGAACAGAGAAGTAATAGAGTTGTTACTTCTAATTTTATTATTTTATTATACAAATATTATAAATGCGAATGTTTTGATGGATGTTTGTTAGAAGGTATCTCTGGAACGTTTGCATGTAATACGCCTGCATATATAGGCTATTAATTAAAAGGTTTTATAATACGGAGACGCGGGCGACAGCTAGTAATATTGCAAATGCGAAAGTTTTGATGGATGTTTGATAGAAGGTATCTACAGAACGGTTCAAAGAATCTCACTGAAATTTGACATAGATGTAGAACATAGCCTGGAAGAACACATAGACTACTTATAATGTTTTTTTTTTTATTTTTTTAATTTAACTATTATTGACCTAAAGTATTGAGTCGATTTGAAAAAATCTTACACTGTTAGCTACACTATACAGTTACACACCCGTGTAACAGGCTTTATTTATTTACTAGATCTTTATCCGTGCAAACGGAGTCGCTGGCTACAGCTAGTTATAAACAGTTAATGTGCCTTACGGGATTTAAAAAGAAAAAAATATTTGTTAGTTCTGATTAAACACTAAAGTATTCAAACAATTTTAGCCTACTTATTCCTATTTCTAATGACAATACGTTGTTCATAATCAAATTAAACTTTCTCTTTTAATTATTAGGTCAACAGTATTTATGTTTCGTGTGTTGCCAATGTGACGTCACGAATGACGCATCACTCTCACTTTAGTATATTATTGGCAACGTCAACCGCATACCGTGTGACGTCAGCACAATACGAACATACCATCATCAGCTCACTATACCTCCCCACCGAGCTCGGAGCCTACCCTAAGTTATGTGACTAGGTCATAGTCAATGCTGACCAAGTGCGGGTTGACTTCACACATGTCTTTGAATTTCTTCTCAGATATGAGCATGACGATGTTTTCCTTCACCGTAAGAACATAGGATAAATGTACATGTGTAAATCGGAAATGGAAAAACACATTAGTACATGGCGGGATTCGAACCCAAAACCTGCAGATTACAAGTGCTGAAACCACTGAGCCACCGACGCTCTACGAACTTAAAATTAAAATTAGACTCAAGTCTTGCCCTTGCCCTTTGTATAAGATGGAAAGTGAATTTGAAAGAAGAGGAAAGAGTCTTATTCTGTGCGTTTGTTAAAAAAACTGTTAAGTGTGGTTACCACTTCATTTTTACCAACAATAAAGGCAACTACACACTTTCAGTTTTTGTAAACTCGGACGGTTCAATATTAAGGTGTGTAGCTGGCTTAATGCCTAACCAAACAGAACCTCTATATTTTTGCGTATCATATATCAAATATAATATAAATAAACAGATCGTCCGGATGTAACAAGAGCGATAGAGTTTGCTCTAAAAACTATTGTTTAAAAATATAAGTATAACTAGCCGTCGACCGCGATTCCGTTTGCACTGAATTAAAAAAACACATATCAGCCTATGTGTTCTTCCAGATATGTTCTACATCTATGACAAATTATAGTTACATCAATGAAGACTGTTCTGGAGATACCTTGTAACAAACATCTAAACATTCGCATTTATAATATTAGTAAGACTAGATTCTTTCCGTGACTCCTTCCGTGTTGATTTAAAAAAACTTAATTAGTAGTCTATGTGTTCTTCCAGATTATGTTCTACATCTGTGCCAAATTTCATCAAGATCCATTAAGCTGTTTTAGAAACTTCTAACAAACATCAATACATCTAAACTTTTGCATCTATATGATAGATGGATGGATGTTTGTTAGAAGATATCTCCAGAACGGCTTAACAGATCTTGATGAAATTTGACATAGATGTAGAACATAGTCTGGAAGAACACATAGACTACTTATTAAGTTTTATTTACCTTGCACGGACGAGTAACTCCATACATCAAAACATTCGTATAACATATATTACAGCCTCGGTGGCTCAGGGGTTTCAGCACTTGTCTTGTAATCTGCAGGGTTCGAATCCCGCCCTACATTAATCCTATGTTGTTAGTGTGAAGGAAAACATGTTGATGCTGCACATATCTGTGAATGTCAAAGATATGTGTGAAGTGATGCACTGGACCAGCATTCACTATCACATAGTCACATCACTTAGGGTGGACTCTGAGACCCTCAGTGGGGATTTAGTGAGCTGATGTTGATTTTTATGGCTTTTTGTTGAAGGTCACAAAGGTCATATGGCATTCGTGCAACGTATTGAAGAAGGGGACGGAGACCCAGTGTACGAGACTGTTGGACTGGTAACATTAGAAGATGTTATAGAAGAGATGATTCAAGCTGAAATTGTAGACGAAACTGATGTTATAAGTAAGTTAACTAAATCAATTTAAATTTTAACAGTGGTAGAGAGAGCTATAACATGTTCGCAGGAATAGTCCCGACTCGTCCAGTGAAATATCACGACCATACAGAAGACGTGCAGTCTGATGAGTGTGCGTCCCGGAGGACTTATTTACTCCTCTTTCCCTTCCCACACTTTTTCTCATAAGGAAAGGATGGGAAGTGGAAGTGGACTTTCCAGATGAGGTGTATGGGAAGGGAAAATATTCTCTTTCTGTGCGTCTCCTCCGTCGATTAAAGGCAACGTATATGTAATTGCGTGTCTATGGGCAACGGTCACTTCGCCATTTTGGCGAATCTAGACGTTCGATCGCAGGCACTATTTTAATATTCTTGTTTGTTGCAGGTGATAATCGCACTAAGAAGAGATTAGCTCGTCCATTGAACAAGTTCCAGGATCTGGCTTCATTCGCTGGTCATCAGCCGCATCGTGTACACGTCTCCCCGCAGCTCGTGCTCGCCACCTTCCAGTTTCTAAGCACAAGTGAGTAACTATAGTGTGCCTATTTAAGATAGATTAGTTTGACAACTGCCTGTAAAGTATACAATTAATTTTGTATGAGGATTAATGTTGTACTTAATGGATGTTATAGTGTCGGAGTGTACATAACAAACAACTATGAACTATCGAGAATCGGTGATAATAGATAAATTGTATAAAAACATGTTTTTGTAGGTGTGGACGCGTTCCGTGCTGACATGATATCTGAGACAGTACTCCGTCGTCTTCTGAAGCAGGACGTCATCCATCACATCAAGTTACGTGGTGATGAAGACAGGAATGATCCAAAGAGATACGTCTTCCAGGAAGGCAAACCGGTGAGTTACTTAGTTTTAGTCGTAAACAGCCTCTATGGCTCAGGAGTCAAGCATATGACTTGCAATCTGCATGTCCTGGGTTTAAATCCCGCCATGTACCAATGACCGTTGCCCATAGACATACGCAATTGCATATGCGTTACCTACCTTTAATCGACGGAGGAGAGGATGCACGGAAACAAAATATATTCCCTTTCCATGCATCCTCTCATTCGGAAAGTCCACTTCCACTTCCCATCCTTTACTTATAAGAAAATAGGTGGGAAGGGAAAGAGGAGTAGATAAGTCCTCCGGGACGCACACTCATCAGACTGCACGTCTTCTGTATGATCGTGGTATTTCACCGGACGAGTCGGGACTATTCCTGCGAACATGTTAAAGCTGCACTGATATTTGATGTTCTGCTTTGTCTTATAGGTGGATTACTTCGTATTGATACTGGAAGGTCGTGTGGAGGTGACAGTAGGTCGGGAGAATCTGGTGTTCGAAGCTGGACCATTCACATACTTTGGAGTTCAGGCTCTCACACAGAACATTGGAGTTGGTGAGTATATTGAAATTTATAGTCTAAGAGCCAACAGAGATCTTTCGTTATCAATGTTTTAAGGAAAAATAATTATTATAGCTATTCTATCAAAGTTTTTATGGTTGTTTTTAATCGAATTCATTTTATACGATCATACTGTTAGGAAGAAAATCCGGCAGTGCCGGTGTATTGGCGCAACACTAGCTTTACTAAAATATCAACGTTTATGTCCCCTCACTACATCTGACACTTGACTTTGTAACGAAAGCGTACCATTCGCACCAAAGGATTGTAACTAATAATGTCTAAAATTAGCATTTTTTTATCTATATATATAAAAATCAATTGGTGTTCGTTTGTCTCGCTAAAACTCAATAACGGCTGATCAGATATATCTTATCTTGGTGTTAAAATGTTCGGGGAAGTCTAGAGAAGGTTTAAAATGTGAGAAAAATACCAATAATTGCCAACAAAACCTTAAAAACACCCTTTTTTTCTACATATAAACAGCTTAATATATATAGAACATAGTCTGGAAGAACACATAGGCTTATAATTATGTTTATTTATTACGCGCGGACGGAATCGCGGGCGATAGCTAGTATTTGAAAAAAAAAATGTCTTAAAGTGTTGAATTGGATGAAATTCGACCATCCAATGTCTCCTGCACTATAATATCAAATATATGTGTGAAGTGACGCACTGGAGCAGCATTCACTATGACAGTCACACTTAGGGTAGATTAGACCCTCAGTGGAGATTTAATGATGTATGTTGTACAGCGGAGACTCCAGCACCGACAACGTTGGGTTCTCTGCAGAACCTGAACATGGACATGATGCTGCGTCATACCTTCGTGCCTGACTACTCAGTGCGAGCTATTGCTGAATTATACTATCTTACTATAAAAAGGTATGTTAATATTACTAATATAAATGCGAATGTTTAGATGTACGTTAAAAGCGCCAATAGCCTAGTGGTTAAGGGTACGGGTTTCCGATCACGAGGTCGGGAGTTCGAATCCCTCCATAAGACTCTCTACGTAAACTATATCCTATCACAAGTTTAGAGCTTAGTTTAAATGGTACAAGAAATATTAGTAAATACACAAAAATCTGCAAATATTTAAAAAAAAAAAAAACATAGATGCGAATGTTTAGTATTTCCCAAAGTGTGCGATAACTCCCTCTTGTGCTTGCTGCAGGTCTCAAGTTGCGGGTTATAGTAAAAGTTTCCTTTACAATTCTCCATTAATATACATATATAGGTCACAATAATTAATTAATTTAATTTGAAGTTATAGTGGTTTTTAAATATGTGAAAATATGGGGTCGCTAAAAATATATTTATTCTCAAAGTGGGCTGAAGACAAAATAAGTTTGGGAAACACTGATTTAGATGTCTGTTTGGAAGAAGATATCTCCAGAACGGCTGAACTGATTTTGTTGACATTTGACATACATATAGAACATAGTCTGGAAGAACACATAGACTACATTTGTTTAAGCTAGTAACTTTTAGTAAAATATAATTTTGTCCGAATTATATTGTATGGTCTGATAGACCATACGACATAATAACTACACTAAAATTTTCTTCTGAATAGAATAATATTTACAACTAAATTAAACATTTTTTTTCAAATATAGCAGATTTTTTTGGTAAATTTACTAATATTTCTAGTACTATTCCAACTAAGCTAGACTTGTGCTAGGATATGGTTTACAATAGTCGAATGTCGGGATTCTAACTCTAGACCTCATGATCGGGAATCCGTACCCTTAACCATTAGGCTATTGACGCTTCGCGCTATTGACCTTGACAATAATGTTAGGAAGAAAATCCGACAGTGCCGGTGTATCGCAACACTAGCATTATTCAATCAAAGTTTATATTTGACACTTGACTTTGTAACGAAAGCCATTCGTGACAAATGATTCTTATTTAAATTAAATCTAAAAGATTAAACTAGACTAGATATTAAAGGTACGTGTCCATTATCCCGTGCCGTACGGCAAATCCCGCAACGGATTTTAGTTTGCTTCGTATTTTACATTAATGAAATTACATGTAAAGGAAGTCCTTTGTACCTTAAATACAATCCTTCCTAGTGAAGCCAAGGCAACATTGAATTTAATATGTAGTGTTAGAGCGTCGGTGGCTCAGTGGTCAAGCACTTGACTTGCAATCTGCAGGTCCTGGGTTCGAATCCCGCCATGTACCAATGTGTTATATATGTACATTTATTGTATGTTTTTACGTTGAAGGAAAACATCGTGATGCTGCACATATCTGAGAAGAAATTCAAAGATATGTGTGAAGTCAACCCGCACTTGGACAGCGTGGTTGACTATGACCCAGTCACATAACTTAGGGTAGGCTCCGAGCCCCTCGGTGGGGAGGTATAGCGAGCTGATGATGATATGATGTAGTGTTAGGAAGAAAATCCGACAGTGCCGGTGTATTGGAACAACACTAGCCTTATTCTATAACGTTTATATCCCCTTACTATCTGACACTTGACTTTGTAACGAAAATTATGTAATTAAGAACACTAGAAAGCGAGATGTATAAAGTGAGGTGTATGATCTCTGCCTACCCCTGTAAGTAACAGTCGTGATGTATTCCGCAGATCAATGTACTTGGCGGCGAAGCGCGCTACTCTCATGGAAAAAGGAGCTCTCAACAAGGGCAACACTAATGAACAAATAGAACCTGAAGTTGATAAGGTCAGTGTTACCATATATCTGTTTTTAGGGTTCCGTACCTCATAGGAAAAAAACGGAACCCTTATAGCATCATTTTGTTGTCTGTCTGTCTCTCAAGACACCTTTATATCATAAGGTGGCAAACGAGCGACCGGTCTACCTTAAATCGACAGAGGAGGGGATGCAAGAAAGACAATATTTCACTTCCCATCATTTCCTTATAAGAAAAAGTGTGGGAAGAGAAAGAGGAGTAAATAAGTTCTCCGGGCCGCACACTCATCAGACTGCACGTCTTCTGTATGCTCGTGGTATTTCAGTGGAACAGTCCCGACTCGTCCGGTGAAATACCACGACCATACAGAAGACGTGCAGTCTGATGAGTGTGCGTCCCGGAGAACTTATTTACTCCTCTTTCCCTTCCCATCCTTTTCTTTATAAGGAAAGGATGGGAAGTGGAAGTGGACTTTCCGGATGAGGTACATGGGAAGGGAAAATATTTTCTTTCTGTGCATCCTCTCCTCCGTGGATTAAAGTTAGGCAACGCATATGCAATTGTGTATGTCTATGGGCTGTCACTTCGCTATTTCAGCGATTTCATGTGACCGCTATATTATAACTTGAAAGTTAAATAAAAGATTTTTAATTAAACATAAACAAAGTTACGGGCAAAAGTTAATTTATAAAAAATCTTATTACAGTTGCTACGTGATGGCGATAAAATGGAAGAAATACCGGAGAATGAGAAACTACCGAAACAGGTAATTAAATATTTTATATAACTATCGTTTGTATGGAATGTATGGATTAAAAAAAAATGAGACATATGCAAGCAAAACTTTTCGATCCAAAAAAAAAATTGTCAAAATCGAAGCACCAGGAGCTGAGTTTTTTTTTAACAACTAACGACTACATAATGTATATACATTAATATTATATATAACAAAGACTAAGTAAATAAAGGAGTTACACGGTAAGGGAACATACCCATACTCATCCCCACTGAGGGGCTCGGAGCCTACCCTAAGTTATGTGACTATGTCATATTCAACCACGCTGGTCAAGTGCGGGTTGACTTCACATATATCTTTGAATTTCATCTTAGATATGTGCTTTACGATGTTTTCCTTCACCGTAAGAACGTCGGATAAATGTACATATGTAAATCGGAAATGGAAAAACACATTGGTACATGGCGGGATTCGAACCCAGGACCTGCTGATTGCAAGTCAACTGCTTGACCACTGAGCCACCGACGCTCTTACTACATGACCTATATTTTTTTGTTTTTCGACCCCTCTCTCTCCCCTCGGTGACCACTCGTAGTACATACCAAGACCCTCCCTGTTTAGTATTTACGTAGTAATTCAAAATAATTATTTTTAATCATTTCACAGGTAAAAATTAAAAAAAAAATTGGCTCATATTCTTCTTTATAGCATAAGACTGTATGCATTCTTAAATTACTAGTGAATTATGTATTATAAAAAAAAATAACGACTACGTGACTAAAATAGAGCCTCCCCCCGCTTATGTGACTGACCGTAGTATTTTAATGACTCCGCCCCCCCTCCCCACCTTAATGGGGTCACATTGTATAAGTACGTTCCCTTACATACAAAAAAAAAGACAAATTAATAACCTCCTTTTTGAAGTCGGCTAAAAATTTATAATAGTAGCCAGTTTTGGTATAAAAATAACAAAAAAAAAGGATATTCTTGGTATATTTGTTTGTATGTATGAATTTGTATGTAATATAAAATTTATATTATTTCTTACATGCCGCTTAGAAATTGGAAGTTCCTAATGGAAATTAAAATATGGTTTGTATTTAAAAAAACTAGTTTATTAAAAAAAACTGCTTAATAAAATCGGTTATAGCGACTAAAAATTATTTACCTTTTAAATGTTGCTATAAGCGGTTTTTTTTAATTTATTAATATAAAAAACCTTTTGAAACTTCTATATTACTGTTTACTCAATATTAAGTGTTATTTAAATATTTAAGGGACAATTAACTTTTTAAAGTAAAATTTAAATCATATCTGGGCTTCGAAATATTTATTTTAAATATGAAATTCATAGATTTGCTAAAGTTTGTTTAAATTTCTCTTATATTTTGTACTAAATTACGTATCTGCAAGCCCATATTCTTATAAAAACTAAAAATAAATTTTTAGTTTTTATAAGAATAAAAAAAAGATTTTTTAAACCTAACCAACGATTAATTCAAAAAAATTTACGTATATTTATAATTTTTTCCAGTTTCTACCAACATCAGCATCTCCGCATACAAACTCAACGTTCAAAAACCACGACAAAGATGGCAACCCCGAGGAAGAGAAACTACTGAAGTAGGCAACACTAACAAATATTACATCGGGTAACATTCACTTTGAACTCTACTGGAATGACATTTGTATGTACGTTATTTATGTCAGCTCACTAACGCCCTCATCTCAAAAATATCACATGATTTACGTTTTTTTTTTAATTATTTTATGCCTATTTGTCTGTGTCTAGAGTTAATTACTAGCAGTGGACTCGATTTTGTGAAATTCTGTCTTGGGGTAGCATTTTAATTTGACTAAATATTTAACTTATATAATATTGTCATAAAACTAGCATATTATAAAAACTTTCATCCCCTATTTTGCACCCTTGAGGGTAAAATTTTAATAAACATTGAATGTCATATTAATTTATATAAAATTAACATCTTAAAAAATAAATTTCAAGCTTATATTTGTAAAAATGACGATACTTTCATACAAATTTCCAACCCCTTTTTCAACCCTTTACAACCCCTTTTGCGTGTAAACAGTAGCTTATGTCCTTTCTCAGGCTCTAGATTATCTGTATACCAAATTTCATTTAAATCGGTTCAGTAGTTTTTGCGTAAAAGCGAAACAAACAGATGGAGTGACTTTCGCATTTATAATATTAGCAAAAGATTTTTGTCTTTGTTATTTTAAAAGAGAATGAAAGAGATGTCAATATGTTATACAAAAGTCATTTCAGTGGATTTCTTACTTCTATCTATCTATAAATGGATAGGTAATTAAACTTGGAAATGACAGCTTTTATTTTGTTCCGATTTGAATACGTCTGTTGAAGTTACTGACAACTAACATATGTATATTATTAGTTCCAATCTTCACCACCGCTAGCAACCGTAACCGTCAGCACCAAAATGGCGGAAATCAAATAAGCACAAATTACTACGTCTTATAGCCTATCCATTTATAGTCAGTTCGGTTAATTTTTAAACACATTGCGTTCGCAAACAAAAAACGATTACCTTTTTTATGATTTGTTTATTGATGGATGATGTTCGAATTTTTTTTTATTAATTTGCAATCAAAATATATTCGATACGTAATAAATTATAATAAAATCACGTCTTTAAAATTGTACATCAAATGTTTTATAGCAAAACATCGCAACATGTTTAAACATATGTTTCCGCAGTTTTAATTAAAATGCAACTTATTTAAGTAAAATATTATTTATTAGTTTGTAGAAATATTTAACAGAGCATTTTCGTGTTTTTTTTAACATTTATTAGTATGTAAGTGATGTACTTATTTACGAACGAAAAAAAAAAGCGGTCATTTTGCCGCCATTTTTTTGACAGTTGCGATGACGTGTGACATTTTCATTTTGAGAAAATATTTCATAAAAACATCACAAAAACAAATATTATTATAATAAAAAACATAAAAATCTTAATTTATCAAATACCAAAAGAAAATGTGACATTTCATTCGCAATTTTATACAAAAATGCTTAAATTTTCGTTTTTATTAACTTTAGAGTTTACATTCATAGTAATATTTTGTTTTCGAATGAATTTCAAAGAAATTTAATCGTTTCATAGTTTAGCGAGTTTTTATCTTTAGAAATTTAGCTAAGAGTTTTTTTTTTAATATTTTATAACCATAGCTAAAATCCTGCCATAGACAACGTATAAATGTTGCCAGAATAATACCTCAAAAATACCTTAAAAAGTGTCTTAACCTTGGTGCTGTATAAATCAGATTTTTATATTAAAATATATTGAAAATTTGATACGAAATATAAAAATTTATATTCAATTCCAAACAAATGTGCAATTTAAGGTGCTTTTACATACAAAAAAAAACATTTGGAAGTGTTTTCCATAAATTTATGATTTATTTATGCTATTTAGTATGTGAAAGTAGTTTTGATAATAAAACGTTAGAAATGCTTTTTAATAATTATTAAATATTTTAAACACAAATTGTTTTATTTATATGCCTTAAAAATAATAAAATTACTTAAAGCTTCCGAAATTCAAACCTGAAATTACCATAGAGCCTCAATGACTCATGGGTTAAGCACTTGTGAGAAAGTCCTGAGTTCGAATCCCAACTAAACCAATGTGTTTTACATATGTACATTTATCTGATATTGTTAGTGTGAAGGAAAACATGTTGATGCTGCACACATCTGTGAATGTCAAAGATATATGTGAAGTGATGCATTGGACCAGCATTCACTATGACATAGTCACATCACTTAGGGTAGACTCTGAGACCCTCAGTGGGGATGTATGAGGTAATAAAATATCGATTAAAATTATTTTAAAATATAATTCAATGTTATGAAGCCAGTTTGCTTACATCTTCATATTGAACGCCTTTAACCAGTCGACCGGAGAGAGGTCCCGAAGAAATCTGATAAAAAAAAACAATTATGTTTCAACTAATAGTATAAATTACATTTAAAGTATGGAAGCATCTATAAATTACAAGAAAGAAGAAATTCAAAGATATGTGTGAAGTCAACCCGCACTTGGCCAGCATTGACTATGACCTAGTCACATAACTTAGGGTAGGCTCCGAGCTCATTGGGGATGTATAGTGAGCTGATGATGAATATAAAAGTAGACATTTATAAACCTCCACATCACAGCAGTATCCTTCAACATCAATCTTCTTCAACACTCCATTCTGCCCGTTGTATGCTCCATTCACAAACTTTACCAGACGACCCGTTGATGGTATTACAGTTTCCAAATGGTTCTGGAAAACAAAGAAAACATTAAAGTGTACACATTGCCGAAACGTCAACAGAACTTGTCTATGTGTTCTTCCAGACTATGTTCTACATCTATGGTTTTCATTGAGATGCAGCCGTTCTGAAGATACCTTCTAACAAACATCTAAACGTCAAATTGTAGCTATTCCAACTACACTCTGATGAGTCCCCGGAGGACTAATTTAGTCCTCTTTCCCTACCCACCATTTTTCTTATAAGTAAAGAAGTGGAAGTGGACTTTCCGGATGATATACATGGGAAGGGAAAATATTTTCTTCCTGTGCATCCTCTCCTCTGTCGATTAAAGGTAGGCAACGCATATGCAATTGTGTATGTCTATGGGCAACGGTCACTTCGCTATTTCAGAGATTTCAGGTGACTCGCTCGCTCAATATAAACAATATATATTTGTTTATAACTCACCTGATCTAGTTTTAATTTAACATTATCATCAACCAGTTTAACATGAGCTGCATATTTATCGACAACTCTATCAATCACAGCTTTCCGTTTAAAAAACTTATCTCCGAGACTTTTTGTTACTATCTTCACTATAATACCTTCTGTTAACCAATGGTCTTTCCTGAAACAAAACTTAAATCTTACTAATATTATAAACTAACTGTAGCCCGCGTGGATATATAAAAAAATTTAATAAGTGTAACCTATGTGTTCTTTCAGACTATTCACTATATGTATGCCAAATTTAATCGAGATCCGTTCAGCCTTTCTAGAGATATCTTCAAACACCCATCCATCCATCCATAACATCCATTTAAATGTAAAATGAATAGTATCCTATGTCCGTCTCCTGGCTCTAAGCTACCTCCTTAACAATTTTCAGTCATATCGGTAAAGCCGTTCTTGAGTTATAAATAGTGTAACTAACACCACTTTCTTTTATATATATAGATTTAGCTATATTTTTACACTTAACATTCATCTTAACATTCGCATTTAATATATTAGTAAGAAGTAAGATGTGAATGTTTAAATGGATGGATGTTTGATCTCCGGAACAGCTCAACGGATCCTAATGAAATTTGTCATAGATGTAGAAACATAGTCTGGAAGAACACATAAACTATAAATTCAGTATTTTTTAATTCCTCACGGATGAAGTTACGTACTAAAATTAAATGTAAGAATTTTTTTTAATATATTACGGTATAGGAAAACATCATGATGCTGCACATATCTGTGAATGTCAAAGATATGTGTGAAGTGACGCACTGGACCAGCATTCACTGTCACCTAGTCACATCACTTAGGGTAACGAGACCCTCAGTGGGGACCTATAGTTAGCTGATGATTAACAGCATATTAAATTGCAAATTTACAATATGCCTAGTTAGATTATAAACTAACACGCACAAATAAAATATTTACCTCACCTATTAGCCCTTTCTCTGGCTTTTTCTTGCATTTCCTTGATAGCATCTAACGCGCTCTGTTTATTTTTCTCTTCTATCTTCTTCTTCTTGCTAGAGGATGATTCTTCTTTTGTCTTCTGTGCTTGGAGAGCCGACTTAGTTAGATCGGATCTTTCTAGAATAAATTGATAACTGTTCAAGACAGATAAGCAAGAAACCTCTATAAGCGAGAGTTGTGTGGTCCCGAGGAACCTTCATATATGAGAAACTTGGGTAAGAGAGAAATATCTTTAATGAGAAAAATATCACGATCCCTTTGGACTCTTACTTATCCAGCAAGCAACTATATGAGCGCGGTATTAAAAATAAACATTTACAGTCTGGAAGAACACATATCACCTATGTGTTCTTCCAGACTGTTCTACATATATGACAGATCATCAAGATCCATGCTATTCCGGAGATACCTTCTAACATCCATCTAAATATACGCATTTATAATATTAGTAAGATATTTTCTCGTAACGTAAATGTTACTGACCATAAAAAAGTTGTAAACTCATGTTTAAAAAGGTTCAATAACATATATAATAATTTTCTCTATATTCTCCGTGTCACCATGGTCAAAGTTTCTCGGAATATGATTGATGCACAATTTTTTTTTTATATCATAAGGTGGCAAACGAGCGAGCGGCCACCAGAAATCGCTGATATAGCGAAGTGACCGTTGACCATAGACATACACAATTGCATATGCGTTGCCTACCTTTAATCGACGGAAGAGAGGATGCACATAAAGAAAATATATTCCATTTCCGTGCATCCTCAATCATCTGGAAAGTTCACTTCCGCTTCCCATCCTTTCCTTATAATTAAAAAGGGTGGGAAGGGAAAGAGGACTAAATAAGTCCTCCGGGACGCACACTCATCAGACTGCACGTCTTCTGTATGGTCGTGGTATTTCACGGGACGAGCCGGGACAACTCCTGCGAACATGTTAAAGCTCGCTCTACAACCGTTAAAATTGAACCACATACCTTCAGGTTTCCTCTTCAAATTAATATTTAAAGTCAATCTTTCTTGGCTGTTCTCCCTTTTGAACTCTGTATACGAAGGTTCCTCTGTAATCATCTCTTTCTTTCCTTTCTCGACTTGTTTCTGTATGAATTCCAACATTCTTTCCTATAAAATATTTAATATGTTTATCAATCAAATATATAAGATTATTATTTTGATTACAAGAAAAAAAAATGCCATTTCATAGCGACAAAACTAATCGTATTTGTAAAATAAAAAAATAAAAAGGTGTCGAACGAGCGAACTTAAATTTGCTGGAATAGCGAAGTCACTGCTACCCATAGACATACGCAATTGCAGGTAGATTGCCTTCCTTTAATCAACAAAGAGGGTGCACAGGAAGAGAATATTTTCCCTTCCCATGCATTAATCTGGAAAAATCCACTTGTACTTAACATCCTCTCACAGAAAAAGGGTGGGAAGGGAAAGAGGACTAAATTAGGCCTATGGTACCACACTCATCATACTGTAGTTGGAATTGCTTCAACTTGAGGCGTGTCTTCTGTGTGGTTGTGATATTGCACAAGGTGAACAGGCCAATTCCAGCGAAGATGTTGAAATGGGCTCCAAGATGCTTAAATTAGACATTAAATACCATACCTGATCATCTTTATCCATCTTTTCCTTTTTAACTTTAGCCTCCTGTGCAGCAATTGTCGCTGGGTCTCTGTCTATATATGCTACAAACCAACCTTTTTCTGTTTCATCAACAACACACTTCCCCTCCCTACCTAACCACTTTACAAAGTCGGTCAGAGTCTCCCATTGTGTTGCATTCATATGTAAATGTTCTCTGAAACATTGATATTACAATTAATATCTTTAGCAGGATGTGTGCCTCAACTTCAACGGCAACAACGCTTGTTTAACTAAACAGCATCTAACTATATTTTTTGAAGTCAAAGATTTAGTGTTTTGTTTCAGTCGACCAATAAATAAGTTAGAACAAGAATTTAATCTTTTCTTTAAGTTAAATAAGAGGTCTGAGAAGACATTCAAAGATATGTGTGAAGTCAATCAATCCGCACTTGGCCAGCGTGATTGACTATGGCTTAGTCACCCCTAACTTAGAGTAGGCTACGAGGTCCTCAGTGGTGGGGACGTATAGCAGTGATGATGAAATAAGAGATAGTAAGATATTTTACCTGTTGGAAATATAATCCTGATATACTTTATTGGCATTAACTCGTTTCGTACCAAACTGTCGTTTCAATAACTCTAAATATCCATCAGCAAACTCCCTGGAAAACTCGTCGATGTATCTCGAAGCGTTGTCAGCGAACAGTAAAAGCTGACGCTGGTGAGACTCCGACATTGTGTGACATTTAAAACCATTCTCGTCACGACATTGTTTCTGACACATTTGGCAATACCATCGTAATTTCTGTAGACCTTTAGCTTTTATCTTATTAGCGATGTACTTAGGAGTACCTTTTTCGGCTTTTCCGCCCATTTTTAACCGTTAGCACTTGGTAAAATAGAAAGAATTAAGGCAAAACTAATCGTAATGTATTTGTCAAAAAAGTATGAACATAAAAAACATAGCAGTCTTTCGAATTCCGTATGATTCTATTTGTGCCAATTTAAATATTTAACGTGCCTCAAACAGTAGCAAATATATTTTATAAATTATGTTAAAACTCAATGAAACAACAAACGACAGACAAAAGTTGCTAAATTGTCAAAAATGTCTTGTAAATGTCTCATGTCACTCTAACTCTGGCGTGACAAGTAGGGATGTGCATAGAATATAAAATAAACTTTTAATGTCTTTCTCGATGGTTAATCAAGTCGACAAAGAAACGTTAATTAAAGTTTGACAAATTTGTTTGAGATCTTTTTTCATTTGATTTTTGTTTACGTATGCATTTTGTTAATTTTGAAGGATATCAGGGTTGACCGAGCATTATAGGCGATGAACGAGTTGGACAAATCAGATTACCGGTAAATATTTAGGAAAACCGTTAACGACCAACGACCATCTCTATTCTATATTTGACATATTTTGACTTGGCATTTCGGGAAGACTGAGTTATTTTTATTTTTACCAAACAGTATTTTTAATTTTTAAGAATGGCGTCCGACTCCAATATTAAAAAAGGTAAGGCTTTGCAAGGTCAATCACGTGAAATAGTTTATAACGTATATAAGTACTTCTTGAATGAAGCTGAATTGTTTAAAAAGAGTAGAGAAAGCAACTATTTCAAAAAGATACAAGATCGAGTGGCAGAGGCTACAGGAGTCTCAAGAAGGACATTAAACCGAATATTAAACGAGATTGCTAAGGAAGATGGAATATCACCAAAATTTGTCACTCCGAAAAGGGGAAAAAAGAAAAAAGTGGAAAAAATACCTAATCCACCTTGAAAATATAAGACTACAGTGACATTCGGAAAAAATGAGAACTAATACTGTCATTTTGAAAGCGTATATTTTGACAGACTTCGTGAATTTCATAGTTTTTTTATTGCATCCAGTGGAAAAATACAAGGAAGTGAGTGTTTCTAAGTAGTGTTAGAAGATGGTACTTAAAGTAAAAGAGAATTTTAACAACAATCGGAACAGGGTCTCGTTTAAATTGATTAATACGAGAGTGACAGCTGCTAAGAGTAAATGTTACCATTCTAAAAAAAAACTGAGTGACAAAACATGTACAGTAGATTTATTTGCTAATATTAAGACCAAAGAATTTAAATTATTTTTAAATAAACAATATAACGAGAATTCAGCTTGTGTTTTAATATTCCATCTGATAATCGGTTTTTATATGTTTTACATTAGGTTCCGCTTCCACATAAATGGTTAATAAATAAATAAATGGTTAAGCATCTTAACGAAGAGAAAAAAGGCAAAGGTTAATCTTGTGAAGACCAACACGGAACCCATCTTAAATGATGTTTTTTAATATTTTATACTTGAATCAGACCTATATATAACGAAATTACTTAGAGTAAAAATTCTTCTATAAGGGATAATGAAAAAGTAAAAAACTTCTGATTTCTTAATTTATCTTATGGGTACGACCTATTAATTTTATTAATTTGTAATTAATTTTATTAATTTGTAATTAATTTAAATAGAATGCTACTACCATAGATCCACATATTTTATGATTTAGTTACAAAACCCTTATGATTTTTATATGCAGCTTAAAGTAATTGCCTAAAAGTAGGGTAAAGTTTGCTCTCTAGTAAACCTTGCTTGACTGTCAGTCCTGTCAGATGCTACGACACCATAAAGTAGTATACCATAGATAATGCTCTATAATCCTGCGTTAGCAAAAGGAGGGAAAGTTAGAATATTGTTAACATTTGCTTTTAAATTAAGGAATATACATTCATTTTACTCTTTCTTAATGTTAATTTGATTTTTATCAAAAAGGAAAGATACGTAATTGAATAATCGTTTAAAAGGGTAAAAAGTATTTACTGAGACAAACTGCGAACCATATTGTGATGAATTTCGTTTCTTTAAAAAAAACAAATAGAATTTTATTTACTTTTTTATTTCAATGTAATGTCATGAAAACTGTGTAGGATATGACATGCGTTGGTAAAGTTGAATAATGTCGCACAGAAAAATTACCTAAGTTTTATAATCAACATCTTTTAGACTTGAATTTACAGTTTAAAAATATGGATCTTATTTGGTCGAAAGATAGATTACTTAAAATATTCAGCACGGTAACTTATTTTATCTGTTTTTCATTTTTAGTTCCGTTCAATTTTTCGATGTAATTTTTTTACAATCAACACAAAAGCTTTGCTTCCTAAAATAGTCCCAAGTTATGAAAATTAAGAACAACTGAAGAGTTCGGGGCTGAAATTAAATACAAATAATATAGTCTTTGGACGTAACGTTGAAATACGAAATTATGGGATACCAATAACTTACCAGCTGTCACGGCTAATGTTTTTTTTTAATTAGGGAAGCAAAGATCACCATTCCTTAAAGCCACTGCCATATTTCAAAATTAAATATCTACCCTGAACTCTAAACCCAAGTCTCTGTTCATTATCTTACTAATATTATAAATGCGAATGTTTGGATGGATGGATGTTTGAAGGTATCTCCCCAACGGATCTCCATGAAATTTCGTATGAATATACATCAAAGTCTTAAACACATAGGCTACTAATGTTTAATTACGCGCATATGGAGTCGCTAGCGACAGCTATAATACTTGTTTATCTTTATTAAGGAATCGGTGATGGTCCATGCAAACGCGACGGGGGACTGCGGCTCTGTGCCCATCCTGTGTTGCCATGTTTGCGGTGGTGATAGCGATTTGCGCCGCTTCAGAGGCACGTACAACTGGAATGGTATTGAGGAACAATACGATCTGATGCTTAACGAATGCTTTGGTGTTGAAGTAAGTATCATTTTCTTACTAATTATATAAATAGAAATCGGAGCCTTGCTAATCTCTGGTTAAAATATATAAATACTAGCTATCGCCCGTGACCTATGTGTTCTTCCAGACTATGTTCTATATGTATGTCCAAATTTTATCGAGCTCTGTTGAGCCGTTCCAGAGATATCTTCTAACAAATATCCATTCATCTAACTTAACTTTCGCATTTTTAATATTAGTAAGATGTTTATGTTTTAGGTACCAAGATTAGATTGTATGATATGTGAAAACTGTATTCATCAGTTGAGGAACGCGAAAAGGTTTAGAAATATGGTCAACGCCGCTTTTGTGAAACCACAAAGCGAAAGTAAGTGCTTATTTTAAAGAATTTGTCACTTTTAAAGCATTCGCTCCGCATTTATTCCATAACGAACTTCAAAAATGTATACAACTGCCAACTTTTGATAAGTCACGTGATTATCGCACCTCAGTTCAATACAATTTTGAAATTCGTTATAAAATCGCTTTGGAGCGAATGCACTTTCTCTAACCCCGCAGAAGTGTAATTCGAAATTTTCAACAGGTCAAATGAGCAACGGCTCCAAAACTACATTTCATAAAATCTTTTCGAATACAAAATTCGACAATGAATTGATTTGTCCAAAAAAAGAAACAAAAGAGTCAAAGCCAAAATCGACCACAGACAACCACGATAAGAAACGTCCCGAGAAACGACGTTATATTGAAACAAACGTTAAAACGAAGAAAGCAAACGTATCCTGTAGTGTTTGTAATCAGCGGTATCCAATGATTGTACCATTCGAAGGAGTTAAGAAATTTATATGTTCACGGTGTAAGAAGAACGCCGAAACTTATGGCGTTTGTAAAAAATGTAATATGAGGTTACCTATGAGTCAAATGCCGGAACATATGAAGACGCACACGAAAACAAAATTGAAAGGAAGAAATAAGTACGATTTTTTCTTTTTTAGTAGCGCCATAACGTCTTTTTGGCAACTGTCATTATAAGATAGGGATGCGAATCAAATCGGTAATCGGTAACTTTTAACAAATTATATTTAACATATTTTTCTTGTCCAACAAATAAATTGTAGAATAATTCATAATTTGAAACAATGTTTAACAATCTTTTAAAAATTTTATTATTATTTTCTCTTACAGATTATCTACGGGAGCAAAAATGTTGCCATCTCTATCGAAAACAGATAATTTATCAAGGACTCAGACTTACGTGAAGTATCCAAAAAAATATCAATGCAGTCATTGCCAAAAGAAATACATCGTTCCTAAACATCTTGCACATCATATAAATACCGTTCATGGTGAGCTTTTGGATTGTACGTGCACTGTTTGCGGCAAGGATTTGAAGACCAGAGAGTTATTGGACAAGCATATGAGATCGCATACAGGCCAGCCGATATTCCAATGTCATAAATGTATGAAAATATTCAAAAGTCAACGCAGTCTACAGTCACATTTTTTGACACATCAAAAATGTTAAACGTGGTCTATGGTTTTACAGTACGGGTTTGTTTGAAATTAAAGCCAGTTGTTGGCATATTTTATTGACGAAATTTTGGAGGTTAGATGCATTTATTGCTATTTAAATAATTAGCCGTTTTGAGAGATATTCTATTTTTCTTACTTATTACAATATTACGTAAATTATAAATCGCTTCTTAAAATATTAAAAAGTACCCTTAATTAATTTGTGATCTTATTTAAAATAGTATTAAATTAAAAAATTAACATTTCCACAAAATACTATTTTAAAGAAGATCACAAATTTAAAATAGCGTGGCGTATTTTTAATTTAACGAACGAAGCGAAGTGTCATTTAATATTCTCATTTAGAATTAAATTGTTTGTCCATTTTTGGTTGAATAAATTATATTTGTGAGATAAAAAGAGTTTTATTTGTAGTTTCACCATAAAAAAAAACTCAGACAAACATACAGTATAATCTCACTTCGATAGAAAGGCGCGTCCAATAATCCGGCACCCTCCCTTGTCCCTCTATACCTCTGCGCTTCTGTCAATGCATCCTCGACTACCAATCTAACCTCAAAAAATTACTTTTTTCAAGTGAGAATAAACTAAAACACAAAACACTTTATAAAGATTTAAAGAATAAAATTTACATTACTTATGACTTACTACGATCCAGTAATCCGAACATTTCAATAATCCGGCACCCGCCAGTTTATAATAGTGCCGGATTAGTGAGATTATACTGTATTTTTAATAACTACCAGTTTAGGCGAATTTGGAGCATGTCTTTCTCGCTGGTTGGGGCGCGATGCGAAGTGCTGCTACAGAACTTTTAGTAGACGAAAGTTCTTTCCTCAATCGTATAATGTCGTTCTCAGCCTGCCGTTTACGCTGGAAATACACTAATGGATTTTATTACTCCTTCTGACTATTAACTTAAAATAGTCATATATTTCGACTTACTTTAGTACAATAATAAAAAAATCGTTAATTCTAAGGTCAAGTTTACAAGAAGAAAAATCGTTTTACCGATTCATATACAACTGCACATCCCTAATTACCAATGACAGCTGTCAAAGCTAACCTTCATTCTGCGTCAACTAAAAGAATATTTCTTTTTTTTTTCCTATGTGGTCAAATACAATTCTCATAATATCCATACCTTTAGTTCGTTGGCAAGTCTTGCTTCAACTTGAGCTACTCGTTGTCTCAAATCTGCGATATCACGCATCAATCTTGCGGCCGCTAATTTATTATCTGCCTGAGAATGTATTAAAAAAAACTTATTGCTATCTCGCTCATACTCTATCAGAAGAACAGAGACAAATATATAAGCAATGGAACGGCGACCTTTTCACTATAAGCGATCTCTTCCAGGCAACCCAGTGGGACAGGAGGGACATAAATGGAAGGGTATATAACATATAGATATCAGGAAAAGTACGGAATAAATAAATAAGAGCAAAATTTAATTATAATAAACTAGCTGTTGCCCGCGACTCCGACCGCGTGGATATTTAAAAAAAAATAATTAGTGTAGCCCACCCATCCATCCATTAGTAAGTTAATGAAAAGCAGTTCTTCAAGGCATAAATTCGAAATAAAAATGAATAAATAGTATCCTATGTCTGTCTCCTGGCTCTAAGCTACCTCCTCAACAATTTTCAGGCATATCGGTAAAGTCGTTCTTGAGTTATAAATAGTGTAACTAACACCACTTTCTTTTATATATAGATAGATATATTAATTTTACTTATTATTTAAATTAAACATATACCAAGATTTCACGAAAAACTTACCAAAAGTAAGCTTTTATAAAGACAATCCAAAGATTTTGTTACTTACGATTTTAGAAGGTGCATTCTTTGCTACATTCCGGCTGACAATGTTAGGCAATTCTGTGACAGAGCATGGCGTGAACAGCTGTTCTGTAGGCATTTTAGTTACGCCTTGTATAGCCTTGAAGAAAAAACATAAATAATTATTCATCTGTTGCAACGTTCTGTTCTGTTCTGTTCGTAAAAATCGAAACTCAAAATTCTTCTAATTATAGACAAAATGAATTTCTGTCTCTAAAACTATTGTATTAACAAAATATTTTCAATAACACCGTTTATTTTGCAAATATAACATAACCTACACTTTTTAATTACTGCCTTTAATCTCAATATTCACGTAAAATAACCTAAACTTAATTTAAAAACTGACTTTATTTGATAGCGCCATCTAGTCGGTGCTATTTAAAACAAAGATTCACGTTAATTTGTTATTTGAAGTCAAATAAACTCTAAATTCCTATAGTGTTTTATTTTAAAATATGTTTTTTATTTAAAATTCTATCTAAATTATTAGTTAGAATTAAGACCATTAAGACACAAGAAACGACAAAATGGCGGCAATCAAATAGGCACAAAATCTTACGTCTTATAGCCAGTCCATTTATAAAGGTCAGTAAAGTTATGGTTTGAATTTGACGTTTCTTTTTTTACTAATTTTGACAGATTTTACTGTTTTTTAGTTACCTGTGCGACAGCGTTCCTGGCATGTTGTACGTGGTGTGCCTCTTCTCTCTCCAGATGTCGCTTCAGATGTTCCATCTCAGATATTATACTGAATTTCTCCTTTTCCAATCTTTGGTTTGCGTTTTTCAAAGCCTAATACAAGCAATAGTTTAAAACTGGTATAAATACGAATGTTTAGATGGATGGATGGATGTTTGAAGGTATCTCCAGAACAGCTGCATGGATCTTGCTGAAACTTGGAATAGATGTAGAACACAGTCTGAAAAACACATAGGCACAGTCACGGACGACAGGCGAAAAGTGTTAAATAGTGTTTTAACTTAAACCTAGAAGTTGGAAGTTTTATCAAATGACTAGCCGTCGCCCGCGACTCTGTCCGCGTGTAATTAAAAAATACTTAATTAGTTCCCGGTAATTATTGGAATTTTTCTCATATTTTAAACCTTCCCTAGACCTCCATGAACATTTCAAGACCAAGATAAGATCCGTCCAGTCGTTTTCGAGTTTTAGCGAGACTAACGAACAGCAATTGATTTTTATATATATAGATATACCTTCATGTATGTATGTATGGAGGAGTAGTTCATACTGTCACACAGAAGACAGGCGTGAAGTGGAAGCTATTCCGCGTTTCGTCTGATGAGTGTACGTCCCGGAGGCCTAATTTAGTCCTCTTTCCCTTCCCATCCTTTTCTTTATAAGGAAAGGATGGGAAGTGGAAGTAGACTTTACGGATGAGAGGATGCATGGAAAGGGAAGATATTTTCTTTCTGTGCATCCTCTCCTCCGTCGATTAAAGGTAGGCAGCGCATATGCAATTGCGTATGTCTATGGGCAGCAGTCACTTCGCTATTTCAGCGATTTCAGGTGGCTGCTCGCTCGTTTGCCACCTTTTGATATAAAAAAAATACTGTGCCAACCCTCGATAGGGATAAGGGCGGGTTGATTACGATGATGATGATGAGTTATACCTTCATTTTCTCCTTCTTTTCTAGATGACATTCTTCTACTCTTCTCTTGAGCTTTCTTTTCAATTCTTCTAGAAGGCCGGAGAGTGTCGCGCGGTTATTCTCAAGGTCAGCTCGTTGTTGCAATATTTGATTTATTGACGTTAAAAGTTTGATTCCTGGAATATATTTTATTATTTTAAACTATTATATTACAGTTAAATAATCGCACGCGACATTCATTCGTTTAATTGGATTATTTTTGCTTAAATTACAGTAATTTCGTGGCTTTTTTGCGTGTTTTTGTAATAATATTATAAATACAAAAGTTTAGGTGGATGGATAATGGTTAGGAGGTATCTCCAGAAAGGATCTTGTTGATATTTGGCGTAGATGTAGAACATAGTCTGGAGGAACACATAGATTACTTATTAATTTTTTTATCCGCGTGGACGGTGTCACAGGCGACAGTATGTACATATCTTATATCTTTAAATGAGCAATTCTTGTATATATATATATATATATATATATATATATATATATATATATATATATATATATATATATATATATATATATATATATATATATATATATATATATATATATATATATATATAATTTCAATTTCTGAATCGGCTCCAATGATTTTCATAAATTTTAGTATATAGGGGGTTTCGGGGGCGATAAATCGATCTAGCTAGGAATCATTTTTAGAAAATGTCATTTTATTCGTGTTTTATAGATAATCAACTTAAACATAAACTTAACTTTTTCTATCGGTAAGATAGAAAAGTATTATTCATATTTTATCATTTTATTAGTAATTCGTACTTAAATATAATTTCCAAACTGTTAATTACATTGTGACCGCGTGTAAACGACTCTACCAATTTTGAAGAGATGACATACTGTAGATATTTTACTGTTTAGTTGTTTAAAAAGTTGAGTTATTAATTTGATATATACGTACTCTGTTCGTTAAACCGGAACCGTTGTGCGGCAGGTTGGTAGTGACAGGCATCAGGACTGGGGGCACCTGAATCGGGGCCTGGAAACCCACCGCTGTATGGACTACTCGAATCTGTGGAATCCTGGAATATCGTATCATTAAGGGCGTAAATTACAAGCTTTTAATCTATATCGTTTTAAATATTATTAGTTTAAATCTCTTTTCACAAATGGCGCGCTTTTGTTACAAAGTCAAGTGTCAGATTGATTAGTGAGGGGACGAACGTTGACATTTTAGTAAAGCTAGTGTTGCGCCACACCGGCACATTGTCGGTTTTTCTTCCTAACAATAGGAAATTAAGAAACTTGGATTTACTGTACTGCTACTACACTGAGGGGAAGAATACGAATCGAATGTCACCTCACTTGTCTAAATCTGTTTAGTCGTTTACGCGGAATTAAATAAAACTTAATTAGTATAAAGTATATGTCTCCCAGGCCGTATTCTTCATGTATGGTAAATTTCATCGAACTCCCTTTATCTGTTCCGGAGATGCATTGTATCAAACATCCATCCATCTAAACATTCGCATTTATAATATTAGTAAGATATATTTACATACTCTCTAAAAACTATTGTCAGTCAAGTAAAAAGTCTATACGTGGGTTTCTCCTCTCGTGGTGTCATTTAATTCGTATTATTTACAAGCGAACACATATAGAATTAGTTACTTTTAGACATTATTAGTTAGAGTCCTTTGGCGCGAATGGCGCGCTTTTGTTATAAAGTCAAGTGTCAGATTGATTAGTGAGGGGACATTAACGTTGATATTTTAATAGTGTTGTACCAGTACACCGGTATTGTGTCGGATTTTCTAACATTACTAACTAGAGATTTGTATCTTGGCAGCTCATCACTTGAGAAACGCACGCTATGTCCGCGCGGCAAACGCGGTACATTCTGATGAAGAACTTTCAACGCCATAGTCAGTTTCACAACTTTCCAGCTTCTAGAAAATAAAAAATATAAATTATAAAAACTTCTTTGTCTTAGGCATATTGTTGTCCTTGTTTTTTTCAAAGACTGTGAAAGGGATGATAATATACAAGTGTCATGCCAATTGAATATTACTGTGAAAGTAAACTTTGTCTTAAAGCACCTTTTATGGTTATGATCTCAAACCGTTTCTACGGAAGCATTTTGGGAAGCTAAAAATTTGACGGAACGGTAAATTCTAGGTTTGGTTATTCTAGGACCTCGATTCCTACTCTTTTTTGGCGTCATTTAGTTCACGTCTTATCGTATACTCGTAAAATTATTTTTTGACGATTTTTTTTTTATAGTACCCGTATCTGTGATTCCCAAAGTGGTCCCAGTTTGGTTCAGGGAAGAACCTGCAGGTATCAACCCAGGCGAGAAATAAAGTAGGGAATAAAACAACCTGGAAAAAAAAGATAGCACCAGGAGTTTCTTCGAGTTACAAAAGTTAGTTAAAAACATGGTAATAATTAAATTGGATTTCAAAACGTGTTAAATAGGTATTTATTTAAAGTAATGAGCCTAGAATACTTACCGAAAAGGCTTGCGGCCTGCACAATGACTCCGCCTTTTCTACGCCAATTTTGCCGTTAAGTTTTCGTATCGTAACCCACTTACAGGATGATTTGATTTACAAACATTTTTATCATCTACCACGCAAATTCTCTCTGACGAAACATAACTTAACGAGTTTTCCTCATCATCATCATCTTACTATAAGTCCCCACTGAGGAGCTCGTGCCTACTCTAAGTGATGTGACTAGGTGATAGTGAATGCTGGTCCAGTGCGTCACTTCACACATATCTTTGACTTTCACAAATATATGCAGCATAACCATGCTTTTCTTCATACTAACATAGGATAAATAAACATATGTAAATCGGAAAACACATTGGTACATGGCGGGATTCGAACCCAGGACCTGTCAAGTGACACAGGAGCCGTGAGCCTCTGACGCTCTACGAGTATTATTACAAGTGAAACAGATATTAGTCGTGATTTAAAAAAAAACTGTGAGTTTTGTCGTTATATAAGAAGGAATTATATCAATGCTATGTTTGTAAATACCGTCTCTTCATCGTTATCTAATATATTTTGGTATGGTTTAAGTTATTGTTAGTTAATGGAACATCCTGTGCAGTATAACAAGCCGTACTTGGTACGGTCGAGCGTGCATCGTAAAAAAATGAAATCACAACAACCACAGCATTTCGCCAATGATCTGCCATCGGTATGATGTTATTCAAGAGACAGCTAATTCAATTCCAAAAAATTTTAGTTTTCTTAAATTGTTTTTAACTAAAGTTTCTAAGTATTAACCCTTTTTGCTATAATGAAATTAGTAGGAACAATTTTCGTGAGTATTTATGTATTTTTATGTTTATTACTACTGTAAATGACCTAAACTGTCTAGAATAAATAAATAAATGTATAGGAAACAAATAAAAATAAACTTACCAATATGTCATTAGATTTTTATACATTCTCGCCTAGCTTTAAATAGTTTTTAAAAGAGTGTCTGTTGATGGCGTATGGTATTAGACCATCCTAGCTTTGACAGTGGTTCAGTTAGAATTTCGTTACTACATCGTAACACGCGACCGATGTCACGCACCGAACAATCGAAAAACCAAATAATGTTCGCTTATTTGAGAGTTTAGGAAATAAATTAAGTCAAAGTTAAATCTTATCTTATACTCTACCTCAAAAGTTAGGTTATGATAACGCCTGTCGTTTTTGTGCAGGCAAATATTTGTATTAGATTGTTTTGCGACCCATGTTTATTGGAAAACGCCATTATTTTTGATACAACACCATTTATTCGTTTTTTTAATAATTTCATACGCAAAAGGTCAGTAAATCCTGTCACAGACGAAAGACGAAAATTTTAAAATAAAAACTTTTTTTTAAGTTTTAACTTTCTTTAAATGTAGATAATTATTCTGACCCTAAAAAAGCAATTAAATAAATATTTGATAACATTAGATTTTGAAGTAAAAAAGGCAACATCACGCGGTGTTCCCAGGCGGTCACCCATCCAAGTACTGACCGCGCCCGACGTTGCTTAACTTCGGTGATCGGACGAGAACCGGTGTATTCAATGTGGTATGGACGTTGGCGACAAAATTAACGAATTTGGTTAAATTATTTTGTACTAAAACTTTTGTATTTTTAAATATTTGCCTAAAAAATACTTTATGTAGGATGGTACAGCCAAATTCTTATAATCAAAAGACAAAGCTTACTTTGTATTAGTTGTTTAGTTTATTATCCATCTTTTTGCTTACAAACTTATTAGTAAAGTGGTAGCCATCCGTTCGATCGTGACTATTATGCCTAATTACATTATACCAGTACAGTAAGACAGTAACGAGGGCCCGGCATGGATGTGTCACTGTACTGGATGTAAACCAGGTATTAGTCAAAATAGCAAAAATATAAATGCGTGAAACAAAGTAGCAGAAGACGCTCAAAACTAATATAAATATGTAAGTATTAACTAAGAATAGTTATCAGTTTTATGCGAATGTTTGAAGGTGTCTCCAGAATTACACGGATCTTTGGCATAGATGTATAACAGTCTAGAAGTCATAGGCTGCTAATTATTATTTTTTTTAATTTCGCGCATACGGAATTACAATCAGAAGTTGTCATGGATGGAGAGAGAAGTGGAAGTGACGGATTGGGAAAGCTGACCCACCACCTTGTTGGAAGTTAGCAGAGACAGAGGGTAGGACTTACAAAAAATAAATTCCAAATATTTTTTTATATATAATTTTATTAAGTTTATTCGTTCTCCTGGCTGCGAAGACGCGCGGCGGCATTGGTCACTCTAATGCTGAGCTGTTGGGCGCGCTCTACTATTGTCTTTCGCTTCTTAGATGATACACCGTGAGCGATCTCCGCGCAGAATTTCCTGTTCTGCATCATCAGGATCTCAAGCTCACGGACATTGTGGACCAGCACCTGAAAACATATTTTTTTGTACAGCAAATGGCGACATAAGAGCATGTAACTTTTACTAATATTATAAATGTGAATGTCTGGATGGATGTTTGTTTAAAGGTATCTCCAGAATGCATGGATCTTGATGAAATTTGGCACAGATGAAGATAAGATACATAGTATGGAAGAACACATAGACTACTGAGTTGCGGGCAACAGCAAGTTATCACTAAAGTAGAGATATTGACACTACCCAACATTTGCATCAAGTTAAAGAGAAGGTATTTTCCTACTTTTGATGTACAGAGAATTGATCACTTTCCATGTCAAATACTCTTCCCCTTTTCTGAGTAGAATAGAGTGGGTCGGTGAGGACTAAAATTGACTTATCAACTCGCTATATGTCCCCACTAAGTGGCTGATAGCCTATCCTGAGTTAGGTGACTAAGCCATAGGCAACCTTGCCCAGTGTCAGTTGATTTTGCTATCTTTAGATGTCTAAATTGACCTGAAGCAAATATTAACAGACAAAACATGGAATCACTTCACACTTAAGGGCACCGGTGTATCGGGACATTTGGGCAGCAGCTACTGCAGACTCTACTATTGTAAATTAGGTTTGTAACTGATGTTGGTATGATTTTACAAGATTTACAATTTGTAATTATTACAAACCTTACGGAAACCATTGGGGAGCATGTGACGGGTCTTCTTGTTTGATCCGTAACCGATGCTTGGCATCAAGTATTGACCCTTGAAACGCCTGCGCACTCTGTTGTCAATACCTGTAAAACAATATTATTGAATTGTAAAATCATATTTCCTACTAATTTTATAAATGCAAATATTTAGATGGATGTATGTTATAACGTATCTCTAGAACAGCTAACAGTTAAGTTTTTTTTTATTTCTGGACAGAGTCGCGAGCAAAAGGTAATTTTTTAAGACTAAGTGAGAAAAGTATACACAGGTTCTTTCCTTCAGCCTTCTTATTCTTACAATAATTTTGAAAGATACTGTCCACAAAGTTTTCAACCGTCTATCTTGTTTTGTTTTAAAAATAAGTCTTTTTACATGTGTTTGCTTATTTGTTTAAAAAAAAATGTAAATGAAATGTCACCATCAATATGACCAAATTACGATATGCGGGTAATCTGGAATAGGGTTTGATGGTTTTTTTATAGCAAGGTAACAAATTGTGAGATCATATTGATAATGAAAAACACAGAGTGCCCTTGCATATTCAAAAGATAACCTAAAAGCTAAAGTAGAAAATTATTATAATAATAACAATAAACCAAATTATTCATAGGAAATACAAAGACTGTTTGCATATAATTTATTTTAATTAATAAACTCAATGCTTATTGATATAGGTTATGGAAAAAAATGTGGAATTTCTGGTTAAAATTTTAACATACCTCTAGGTTTACGCCAGTTGCGTTTAAGTTTATCATAGCGATCGGATTGATGTCTAATAAACCGTTTCGTCCTCTTCTTGACGATTGTCGGTCTGTATACAGGTCTGATAGCCATTTTGATTGTTTCTTTCAAGAAACGCGGCGGTGAACCACGCGGTGACACGGCCGCACGAAAAGGAAGAGGTAATAGACAAGATCAGACATTGTTAGAATTTTGTGTGTTTTCTTTGGCGCTTTTGGTTGGGTTACGTTGTCTATGATTTTTTGACAGGTGATAGGAAAATAAATAAAATAACGAGGGGCTTTATTTTACGCTTAGACATATCATTTTCAAATAAGTGCATAAGTGTTTTTCCACTTCAAAGCCAAAGGGTAATATTTGTTCCCATTTAAAGTTACAAACTGCTTAAATGCAAGTTTTATCTAATATAATTTTAAGTCAATTTATTGTAAACAGAATTTATTACCTGCCTCTAAACGGCAATATTGGTAAAATATCTCATATTTGAAGCTATTTAAAATAACCAAATTGAGAAATGAAGAAAGTTCATTTTAAAAGTTTTTTTTTACAATCTGTGAAAGTGCCATAGGTAAAAGTATGTGACAGTTCAGCTAATTGCCTGCTCGTAAATGAGAACAAACTAATTTGTCTATGCCACAGACGCCAAATGTCGCCATCGATCAATGACGTTTTGTGAAGTTGAATTTATTGATATAAAGCGTTAATGTAAATAATAAACAATTCCAACATAAACGTCGGCTTCCAGTCGATATGTATGCCAAGGGCAAAGGCTCTACAGTGCCTTCGGACGCTCAAGCTCGTGAAAAGTTGGCACTTTATGTGTACGAGTACTTGCTACACGTTGGGGCGCAGAAAGCGGCACAGACATTTCTGTCCGAAATACGATGGGAGAAGAATATAACGCTCGGAGAACCCCCCGGGTTCTTACATTCGTGGTGGTGCGTGTTTTGGGATCTGTATTGCGCGGCACCTGAGAGACGTGACTCTTGCGAACACTCATCAGAGGCGAAGGCTTTTCACGACTATGGATTTGTCAATTCCGGGTACGGAGTGAATGGAATTGGTCATAATGCCGGACCGGCGCCACCTAATGACGGTACGATGCTTATATACACTTATTAACATAAGAATAGCGCGAATAACTTACGAACGCAATGTATATAAGTTTTCTAGGACATTATATACTCTTATCTCTATATGTAAATAGTTTCCGTAGTGAAATCTTGTAACGCAAACTTTGACAATGTAATCTTGACGATTAGGAACTATGGTATACTTCTGGGACAATTGCTTACTTTAAAATGTTAAATTAAACTCCTTTTCTAGGTTCTGTGACTTACAAAAAATTTTTTTAGCTAAAAATAGATAAAGTTTGCTTTTCGAGTTATATCATAAACATTTTACATCAAAAAAACTTTGAATACTTACAATATATAGAAATCTAACATGGATTATGGATCTATATAAAAAAATTGCACCTCATAACTTCTTATTTATAAACTGCTTGCAAAAAAATGACTTTTTTCTAAGGAGAATGTGTTAAATTCAACCTTATATGTTTGTCTAGTTTAATTGCTATAGTAGGATAATTTATTTTGTGTATTCTACAGCTACCATATTTTAAATATGACATGTTACTCAATTCATGTTATTACTAGCTGTCCGCGACTTTACAAAATTAAAAAAACTAATTAGTAGCCTATGTAATCCAGTCTATGTTATATGTCTATGTCAAATTTCAGCAAGATCTATGCAGCCGTTATGAAGATACCTTTTAACAAATATTCATCTAAACATTCATATTTATAATATTAGTAAGATTATTCATAATCAGGGTTGTGTAGTCCAATAAACTTATCAGGCCTGGATAGATATGCTGTTGTCTTGGTTAGTTCTGTCAGATTCATAGTATTTCTGTTAATTACCAGAGAAAAAAAACAGGTTTTTATACTAATATTAGAAATGCAAAAGTTTAGATGAACGGATGGATGTTGTTTAGAAGGTATCTCTGGTACAGCTTAATGGATATTGATGAAATTTAGCACAGATGTAGAGCATAGTCTGGAAGAACACAGGCTACTTGTAAATTTTTTTTTAATTTCATGCTGAGTCACAAGCGACAGTTAAGAATATAATTAAGTCTTCTAACTAGTTTTACCTATAAGTTTAAACTAACTACATACTTCCAGGTATGGGAGGTGGTGGTATGCCACCAGGCTTCTTCCCCAATTCATCACTGCGGCCGTCACCTCCCGCACCACATCCAGGTTCGCAGCCATCTCCGCATGGACCACAGGCACAGCTTATGGGCACGGGCCAGCCGTTCATAGGGCCGTGGTACTCTGGTGGGCCACGGTCAGGTGTCAGGATGGGGATGGGCAATGACTTTAATGGTCCTCCAGGTAAATTAAGATTTTTTTTATATGTTTTCTGTGTTAGATAGATGAAGTTAGTTATAATATTATTTGTAACTTGTGGATAAAGGTAGTAATAATAATGATATTCAGATAATGGATGGCTTAATGCATAAAGGTATGGATTTCTGCTTATCTGGTCAAGAGTTGCCCAGCTATTTGCCTATTGTACTCCATATCCTATCACAAACCCAGAGCTTCAAAAAAACATATGTAATTAGACAAAGATTTAAGTATGTAAGTTGAAGTAACTAATACAGTTAAAGATAAGGCAAAACTCTCTATAAGTGAGAGTTATCGGATTCTAACGAACAACCTGCGTAAGCGAGAATCTTGGGTAAAAGAGAAACCTCTATAAGCGAGAAAAATTACATATTATTTTAGACTTTTGCTTATCCTGAACTTTATTATTATTTTTTTATAAATTATTAGCTGTCGCCCGCGACTACGTCCGCGCGGGATTAAAAGTAGATGTTGGCCGATTGTCAGACCTACTCAATATGCTCACAAAATTTCATGAGAATAGGTCAAGCCGTTTCGGAGGAGTATGGAAACAAAAATTGTGACACAAGAATTTTATATATAAGATTTGACTGAGATTTTGCTAGAAGTCAAGTTATGTTCATCACAGTAATATAAGTATAATTTAAACTAGTTGTAGCTCGCGACTCCGACTGCGTGGAATTAAAAGAAACTTAGTTACCTTTGTGTTCTTCCAGACAATGTTCCATATGCCAAATTTTATCAAGATTCATGCAGCTGTTCCGGAGATACCTTCTTACAAACGTCCATCAAAACATTCGCATTTATAATATTAGTAAGATTAAATATTGATTTCTCAGGTCAAGGTATGATGGGCAACTCTTTGGAGCGCGGTGGAGGAGGTGGTGCGGCGTTGCTGGGCGGGCCGCGTATGACTCCGCCCCGCCCCGGCTGCGGGCCTATGAGCCCTGGCGCTTATGGCGAGGCCCTCCGCCACAAGGACCAGGTAATTAGACTTCGATTGTAAGATTTAATTAAACAGAGCCCTGTAATAGTTCCTGGGTTCGAATCCCGACTAAACCAATGTGTTTTACATATGTACATTTATCTTATGTTGTTAGTGTGAAGGAAAACATGTTGATGCTGCACATTGGATCAGTGACTATGACCTAGTCACATCACTTAGGGTAGACTCTGAGACCTTCAGTGGGGATGTATGGCGGCAATATTATTTAAATTTTTATCAAGAATCATTGGTATATATAATTTATTCTTTTCTTAAGGAATAAGTAAGGTATGACATTTGACCTTTATATGAAACTAGCGGACCCGACAGACGTTGTCCTGTCTGCACGTCTTTAATTTGAATAAATTATTATAAAGTTAATATTTGATGAAAATTGTGAATCTAAACCATTCCCAGATCCCCTTGAACACACACAAAAAATTTCATCAAAATCGCTCCAGTCGTTTGAGAGAAGTTCAGTGACATACACACGCACAGAAGAATTATATATATAAAGATTTAGTAAAGATTTTTATACTGTCCATAGACAATAATTATAATAGAAAACAAAAAAAATTGTTTGTTTATGTTAACGGTTTTCGTTAATTCTATTGTGTTTGTTGTCAGAAGATTTTTAAGAAAAAAAAACAAGATAATTTGTATAATAATTTTAGCACAGATATAGAACATAGTCTGGAAGGCTAATATTAAGTCTAGCCTATGTCATCCAGGGATAGTGTACCCAACGATGAAATTCAAATTGATTCAGTAATTTCCGAGTCTATTCAATACAAACATAGAAATCTTTACTCTTTATTATTATAAAGTTAATATCTATCTGTATATATATAAAAGAAAGTGGTGTTAGTTACACTATTTATAACTCAAGAACGACTTTACCGATATGGCTGAAAATTGTTGAGGAGGTAGCTTAGAGCCAGGAGACGGACATAGGATACTATTTAATCATTTTTTTCGAATTTATGCCTTGAAGAGCTACCTTTTTAACTTATCTATATGTTAAGTTTTTTTATATATCCACGCGGACAGCTAGTAAGTTAATAACATGTCAAATATAAATTGACACATTTGTAGGCATGCCACCAATGGGCATGGGCCCGCGTAGCGCATGGTCTGGTGGTGGAGGAGGCGGGGGTGCAGCGCCCCTTAACTATAGCGGGGGCTCGCCCGGCGCATACGGAGCCCCGCCGGGCTCCAATGGTCCTCCAGGACCTCCAACACCGATAATGCCGAGCCCTCAAGACTCTTCGAACTCAGGTGAGTAGAGTGCAGGAGTTACCCATTTTTACTATACGACCACAATAACATGTGTAGACGTAAACTCTGAGAGACGCTGTTAATGACAAGTAAAATGTAGTCAAAGAACTAGTGATATAGATATTATCATACGTTTTAATAAAGCGTCAATAGCCTAATGGTTAAGGGTACGGATTTCCGATCATGAGATCGGGGGTTCGAATCCCGTCATTCGACTATTGTAATCCATATCCTAGCACAAGCCTAGAGCTTACTTGGTATGGTTAAAAAAATATTAGTAAATTTACAAAAAAAAATCTGCTAATAATTAAAAAAAAAAAGTCACCGGGGCAGAGAAATCTGGTTGACTATTTGCTGCTATTCCAGTGGAGCCTGGATAAGAAATAATTTTAAGTTAGATTCGGGTTAGAGAGAAACCTTTTAAGTCAAAGTAATTGTCTTGTCCCGGGACAACCTTCATAAGAAACTGGTTATTTCCGGTTTCTGAGTCTAAAATAGCAGTTTAAAAATGTCATGTCATGTCTTTGGCAACACAGATTATTTTGAACGGAGATTTTGGACTCGGAAACCCGCGGTTAGAGATATTCTTGCTTATCCAGGATCCGCTTTGAGAATTTGTATATTTTTTTTGTCAAAGTAAAGTTACATTTAAACTTAGTTTTGAATGTGTTAATAGCGTATTATGACGTCATCAGTTATAAATATCATGTTATTGTGTTCAGTGTATTTTTTATTTGAATAAATGGTAACTTAAAGTGAAAATTGTATGAAATTCTTTATTTTTTTATTATTTTAGGAGTTAAGACTAGTTTTGGTTGTTTGAATTTAAGTTTTTTTTGTGTTTTTTTTTTTTAAATCAATTGATCTCTTTTTATTTTTTATAAAGTATCATACTGTATAAAAAAATTCTTGTTTTTTTTTATAAATAGGATTATAGTTTAAGAGTTAATTTTTTTATGGAATATCATACATTTTCACTTTTTTTTATTTTAATTAATTTAATTGTTAATTATATATTTTGAGCTCATCTCTGTCCGTCCGGTGTTTTTTTTAATTATTTTAATTTAGACATTTCGCAGGAGTATTGAATAACATCACTAATTTGACAGGTATTTTTTGCATATTTTTTCCGATAGAGGGCGTTATAACTAATTGTGATACGAACTTGCATCTTTTTATTAATTTTTTTTGGTAATTACGTTAAATATTTTATTTTTCGAATTAATTTGACGATTTTTTATTATTTATTACCTTGAGTACAATTTTTTGGGTAAAAAAGCTAACACTTAGCTCTTCCTAAAAAAAAATTCTAATTTTATAAAGTTTTTTTTTAAAATATTGTATTTACAAAAGATAGATGCAAGTTTGTATGAAAATAGCCTTCTTTTTTATTTAAGATTATAACTTTTTGTCTCATGCGCCTTTTCTTTTATCTTTGGTTCTTGCTTCATTCTCGCTTAACTGTTTCGTGACGCTTTGGGGTTCTGTTTTCCCGCTTTTTTTTGTCACTAATCCTTTTCTGTTAGTTGTTGTATTAATTTCTAGATATAAGGTGATTTCCCAACTAGATTTTTCAAACACTGCAAAAAAAATTTTTGACAAGTCAATTTTTTTTAAATGACGTAATATTTGTGTTATTTCAGTACGGTTTTATTTATACTAGAAAAAAATGAAATTAAAAATATCGTCGAAAATTTAAAAAATACGTACTATATTTCTGTAAAAAAAATTAACGCGTTTTTTTTCTCGAGTGGGTTTTTTTGGTTTCTAGTTGGGAAGTCTTTGCCATCGCTCCCGGTCGGAAGTCATAAAACGAAATCATTCCTCGCTAGAGGGCAGCACTTCCACACTTATGACGTTTCGCTTCTAAAATGGCGGTTAATCACAATTTGACACATCTCGACTCGCTAAACGGCACCGGATCCAATGACAACTACCAAAGACTAAATAAAAATTACGTAGATACGACACGGAGCTATAAAAATAAATGTCCATTCGTTTGACCATTAAAAGAAAAACATTTTTTCGGGTTTTGAAATGTAATTTGAGCGTGTTTTTGTTAAATAGGTTTTATGACTTCTGATTGTTAGCATTACGCGAGTTGACATGATAAAAAAAAACGGCAAACAATACTGGCCGTAAAGAAACATGTCATTTTTGGGCGGGTGTAAGGAGGTTGTATTTGAATTGTGATCGGTCGGTATGACGCGACAGGCGGTGACAACATGTACACCCTGATGAAGCCGGTGGGTGGCGGAGCCCTAGGGTCGGAGTTCCCGCTCGCCGGCGAGCACGGGCCTGCGCCGCCGCACCTGCCGCAGCCGCCCGCCGCGGAAGGTGCGCCACACTTGTACACCTACGGCACAGATTAAAAAATATAACATGATTTGACACTTCGGCACAGATTATCCTAAGCACGTGTCACTACGTTTCTATTTAGTCTTTTGGTGTTTATTTTTAACAGATGAAATTATGTATATAACTGAACGGTGCTTTTTAACGAGTAAAGATTGTTTTTGTATTATTTATTTTTTTATAATTTTTTTTATGAATTAGGAAAAGGCAGCTGTAATTGTATTTTTTGTGTTTAAAAGTATGTTTACATGGTCTGATTGGTCCTTCGGTAATAATAATAGTAGAATCGTAATAAAAGCAAGGAAAAATATTAATTTTTGGCTGTATTTTTAGTAGATATTCCACATAAATGTAGCGAGATTTAGGAAAATACTTCAAATCAAGTTAATTTTTCTTTATTTAACATAATACAAAAGTGTCTTTAAATTATTAGTGTTACGATAAAGACATTACTTACAATATTTTAGTTACTAGATAGTAAAAAATCTTGAAGACATGTAAACATATTTTTAAAAAATAATTCACAAACACCCTGTGTATATATTCACGGATATTTAAGGAGAATGAAGCAAAATGCCTCTTAATTAAGTAGAGTTTTATTTAAAAAAAAAAAAAAACTAACATGTTACATTAAAAAAGAAAAACAATTTAAAGTTGTATATGAATCTATATTTTTAAAATTTTTTTCCTCAATTTGTGTCCATGTATATTCATTTGTTTAGAGAAAATAAATGATTTTTTAAATACATAAAGACTTTTAAAAGGCTCTATTCACTGCATTAATATCACAGCATTTGTAAATAACACATATAAAGGGCGATCAATTATTCAAAAAAAAAAATAAAAAAAAATCGAAATACGATATAGTAAAATTAAACATTCATTTTAAAGGTATAATATTTGAACACCCTTTGAATAAGCTTGCATAGTAATATGATATTTTCACGTAATGACACACCATTTATATACTATGTTTTTTATTGTAAATTTTATACGTGGTACGATATTTACGTAAGTCTCGTGTTACTGTGCAAGTGTCGTATAGATTATGAAAGGTATCCTACTAAAGTCTACAGATTATTGAATTTAATAATCTAATAAAATATACATAAAATAAATTAATTATTAAAATAAAATAAGATGAAATAATAAAAAAACACCGAATTATGAAGATCTGTGACTCTTGGATAAAATAAAACAATTAGTCTATTGCAACATAGTGTTGGGACTTACATTATCGATAAAACCGATTTTAATACCGAAAAATAAAACAAAACTAAATCGTATTTTAAATAAAGAACATAAAAACCGATGATGTTTATTCTATAATCTGTAGACTTAACACTTTCCGTGCCGATATTTTTATAATCTCTTAGATTTTGGACTTGGTCCAGTAAGGGGCACTGATCGTGTTAATTAAAAAACAATTAGAATGTATAATATTGTCTATGGTCCAGCTAGTGCCCAGTTGGCAGGTATAAAGCATGTAATGTACGCCAGGGCTAGGTGGAGTGGACGGCATGAAATCGTCCCCGGGGGGCGTCGGCGGCGGGGGGCCGGGGACTCCGAGAGAGGACTCTGGATCAGGAATGGGTGATTACAACTTAAGTAAGTTAATTTAATAATTATAGACGCGTTACTTAAGTTACTTGAATCTTTTAATAGCGTCTAGCTTTTGGAGCACAAAGTTGGAGTTTTTAAAGTATATATAGGAAGGAATTAAATTTGATTTTTTTGTAGCACAAATATAATTCGAAAATAGACAATGTATCCAGCTAAGTCTTAAGTAAATGTACTATATCCAATGTTCATATAATATTCAAGTAGTATTATATTTTAGTTAGTTAAAAGATCTTTTCTTATCTTAGTACTTATAGAAGCGACTTACCTTTACATTCCAATGAAAGCTAAAGTTGGTTAAAAGGTCACATCTAGTTAAAAGAAAGGATTTTATTAATATGGTGAATAGAAAAATGTAGAAAAGACAAAAGTCTAATAGTGAACTTTTATAATACCTTACTTTGTTTTGTAGCTTTAAATTTTCGTTAATTTTATCAATTTATACATATCTTTGTTAGGTTTCGGTGGACCCGGCGGCGATCAGAATGACCAAACGGAATCGGCAGCGATATTAAAAATAAAGGAAAGCATGCAGGAAGAGGCGAAACGTTTCGAAAAGGATCCCGATCATCCGGACTATTTTATGCAATGAGTGACGCGTCGACCCCGCCAACTTGCCAAATAAACAGTGAAATATCGTCGTATTCCAATCCAAATGAAGGCTTACATTCACTTTGACACACTGGAACAGGCGCGATGAGAAACATCAAACATATGGGAGTGTTCTCGTGGAGCAGTGCGATTTACTCGACTTCAAGTAAGTGAAACCGGTTTGTACCGGTTTATCTTGCATCTTATAGCCAATTTGGACACGTGTGCCCGCGTACTTGAACAGCTACTAACTGTGGCACTCAGAATTAAAGCCCCTTAGTGTCGATTTATGTGAAAAATACACCTAACATCTGACCAATAAACTAGTGGCTACATTTGTAAAGTTAAATCTCTGAAATCTATAAAGTTTCTGAGATCAAATAATCTGTATGAAACATATCGTCATCCCTGTGATTATCTTTGACATAACAGAGACATATGTTTTTAAATGGAGATTGGTCTCAGAAACCCACGGTTAGTGTAAAGCAGTTAGTGTCTATTTTTAAGTAAGGCTTTCATTTGGAATAATGGATAAACTATTTGTTTATTTAACAAAGTATTCTCATGATCTCAAGATTACAAAACAAATATCTTGGCGGGTTGGACGTAGTTTACGATCTGATAGTGTCTTCATATATCTACGGCTCGGTCATTCGGTAAATAAAAAAAAAATATTTATTAGATTTTAATTTTATATAAATGTTGCAAATTATCGGTTTTCGATGACGTTTTTCATCGGTTTAGTTATCGATATGCTGTCGGAACATCACTAATGCTGTCTATTTGACGTTTCGTGCCAATTTTTTTTATATTGATTTCGTTCATCAAATTAGAAAAAATGAAATATTTTACGTGTGATGAATTAGATTTCTATGTTCTTTTTATTAAATTGAAAAAGGTTCGTTTTGGTAGAATTTTTTTTTATTTTTTTTTAGTGTGACAAATTTAACCGGCCTGGTGAATGGCGAAGTTATAAGACAATATGTAGGGGATAAAAATTGACACAAAAGACAGCTATAAAGTGACCCGACCCGGTGGGATATCAAATTAAATTATGACAGCTCACTAACTAGTCTTTTTTGACAATGTCAAAAAAACTGTCACGAATTCTTCTTCTTTTAATTACTAGTGGGTCCTATCGATTAATTTCTCCAACGTCAAGGTTGAAGGTAATTGAAAACGTTAAAAGAAAGATTAAAAGATTAAATAGCAAAGAACAAAGAGGTAGACGGAGTACAGTTCTGTTTGACAAATGATCAGTTGATGATGACAGTTGCGACTCTGAAAAAGGACAACTGTCACGAATTGTTTTCGTACTATAGATGTCATGTTTTTTTCTCTCATGACAGTTTTCTGTGCCCATGTAGGTTTTATATATTTTCTGCCAGAACTAACCACGATAGTAGCTCATCGGCTTATATTCTTGTGTACTGTCCGACAAGTGACAAGGATCTTGTGACTTTACGATGAAAAACGTCAGATGATAAACTAGCGACATAAAATAATTGATAGGTATTGATTTGCGTACGATATCTATGTATTATGGTTTTATTATATTAGCTATATAGATTTTTATTTCGAATAAAATTCTACTTAAAAAAAAACTTGACAGGTGACATTTGTTTTGTTTTACAAAAATGTTTTTTTTTGATGAAATTGTTGCGTCTTTGAATAATTTTTTTTAATGATGCACTTGTATTTGATAATACACGAAAACGAATGTAATTTTAGGGGAAAAAATGGTTTGTTGGTGCAATAAAAAACTAAACTATGTGACTGTGTCACAAATCTGACAGTTGACATTATACCGCAGTCCTATAGTGTGTCTATTTAAGATTAGTTTGACATTTGACAGTTCACTAGATATGTGTTGACAAAAATCGATTAAGATTTTTTTCGATTTTCGATTGTTGTTCTCATCGCAATCGAATCGTAATTATAGTTTTTAAATTACAATATTAAATGTTTCTTCCCATTCGTATTTTATCCTTTATATCAACTATATAAAGAAATAAAACATTGCACCAAAAATATGGTTTTCAAAAGCATTCAAAAAGTTATATAATAACTAAATTATAGTAACCAATTGTTGGATTAATTTTATTACAAGACCGATTCTCGATAGCTCACAGTTATTCGTTGTGCGACAGTTCGACATTATGACAACCGTCCATTAAGTACGACATTAATCCTCATACAAAATTAATTCGATATTTTATAGGCGTCAGTTGTCAAATTTATCTTAAGTAGACACACTATAGTAATATTATTTGACCCGGTGAATACGTCAACGGAATTAATTCTGTCAGAATGTACTTGATATGGAAATTTTACTTTCACTGTTACCGGGTCAGATAATTTTGTCGCACTGTTTATGTTGATAATGGGGCACCGAGTTTTTATTTTTTTTTTAATGTGAAAATATGATTTTAGCAAGAGATAATATCTTCCAATTTTATTAAATTATTTATCGTATTATGTTTTAAGCTCTAATGTTCCTAGATTCTATTATTTTCATTAACATTTTCCGCCTAACCGCGTTTTCGTTTTGGCGCCAATTTGTGACAGTGACAGTGACAGAATTATCAAGTTCTCTATGGTATAGTCCAATCGTGAATGATAATCATGGGAGATTTTTTTTTAAATATATTTTTCTGTTTTTTTTTTAATAAATGCGATTATGTAAACATGCTCTGATGGACATTAGATTGTACATAGAACTTGTGTTTATTGTTAAATCATAATGTAAAGTTCTTCTATAAACAATTTAATATATGAAAAAAAAAATATTTTAGACTGGATTTACGTAGCATGGTTTTGGTAAAGTTTTTTTATATAAATATATGCTGATGGATTTATGTAAGTCGAGTTTTTGTGCTGGATGATTTAAAAAAAATAAAAAAAAAAACATCTGAATAGTGTTGCAATGCGTCATTTCAAAAACCGGTTACGACCAGTTAATTCCGATTCGCGTTTGAATTTTATCGATATGTAAATTCAACGAAAATCGGAATTTCGCATTTATTCAAGTTGAATTTTAATGGAATATTTATTGAGATATGACAGAAAAAATTTGTTTCATTTGGCGCGCGTTGTAACGTCCGCCATGTTGGTATCTATCGCATATCTATTTGACGTTTGAAAACGCGCGCTTTAATATACCATTGAAGAAAAAATTTACAGAATTTTTTATACCGACCGTGTAATA